GGGCTTCGGAGCGGAGAGGAGCGGTCGTTTGCCGACCGGGTGTTTGAGAACGAGATCAACCTGGCCGTGAGCCTCTCCAAGGCGGCCTATGACAGCATGCTGTTCCGAGAGGCGCTTAAAACGGGGTTCTTTGACCTCCAGGTACTCAACCTAGGGTCGTCCTCATGCACACATCCACATCCTTACGGTCACTCTCTCCAAGGCGGCCTATGACAGCATGTTGTTCCGAGAGGCGCTCAAGATGGTATGCATTGGGGCCATACAGGTGGGGGGCGGTGATGGGTGGTGGTGGGTGGTGGTGGGTGCTGACGGGCGGTGGCGGTCACCTCATATCCCCCGTCACCTCATATCCCCCGTCACCTCATATCCCCCGTCACCTCATATCCCCCGTCACCTCACATCCTGTTTGCTGCATCATTTTCCCCTCTCCGTCGTCCCAGCTCGCTCGCCACGACTACCACCTGTCATGCGGTCGGCAGGCTTGAACTTGCAGGGTGTTTTTGAGAATTCTCAAAAAACACCCTGCGAAATCAAGGTCCTGCTGCTGCTTCAGCTGCACCCGCCCTTCCTTTCCTCGTGTCTCCCTCTTCGTTTCCCCACCTTGTGACTTCGTCCTCCCAGCTCGCTCGGGACGAGTACCGCCTGTCGTGCGGAGCAGCCGGCATGCACAAGGACCTGCTGTTGTCTGCATGGTGCCAGTTTCACACTCTCATTCTCCCCCATTGTTCCCCCTCGTTTTCCCTCTGTCCTCCCAGCTCGCTCGTGACGAGTACCGTCTGTCGTGTGGGGCAGCTGGCGTGCACAAGGACCTTCTGCTGCTTCACTTGCACTCGCTCTACATTAACCCATATCTCCCCCTTTGTTTCCCCCTCGTTCTCCCTCCGTCCTCCCAGCTCGCTCGTGACGAGTACCGCCTGTCGTGCGGGGCAGCGGGCATGCACAAGGATCTGCTGCTGCGGTTCTGCAAAGTGCAGACGCTGCTGCTCATGCCGGTGAGATGGCGATGCTGGTGACGGTGATGGTGATGCGATGATGATGCGGATGCCAATGTTGATGGAGATGGGAATGGTGATGATGATGGTGTTGTTGTCGTGATGCTGAAGTGATGATGACGGTGATGTGGTGTTGATGGTGATGATATGATTCGGATTGTGAAGGCAGAGGTGGTGGATTGACAGCTCTTTCAACCCATCCTCCCTGTGGCATCAACGGCTGCTGACAGATCAACCCTCAACGTTTGGAACGTCTGTGTATCCAACCTTCCAAAACACCACCACCCTTCCCACCCCTCCCAACCCCCTGCTCCCAGATCTGCCCTCACTATGGTGAGCACGTGTGGAGAAACATTTTGAAGCTGCCCGGAGCAGGCATCACGGCTGGATGGCCGGAAGCAGCGCCTGCTGACATGACGCTCAAGGCTGCCAACACATACCTGCAGGTATGTTCATGTGAACGGATGGATGTGTGCAGGCATGCATGCATCACATGTGTGCATGTGCTCATAGCATGGCCTCAAAAGGCAGCAGAAGCAGCGAATGCTGACAGGAAGATAAATGCTGCCACCGTTCCTCCTCCACCAACCCTTCCCATTGCCTGGGCCCGCTGTCAGAGCCCGCTGCCAGAGCCCGCTGCCACAGCCCGCTGTCAGAGCCCGCTGCCACAGCCCGCTGCCAGAGCCCCCTGACAGGGCCCCCTGACAGGGCCCGCTGCCAGGGCCCGCTGCCAGGGCCCGCTGCTAGAGCCCACTAGCAGCAGGTTTGCTCAATGCGATTGAGCTTCCATCCACCTCACCCATCTCCTCTCTTCTCTTCCTTCCCTTCCCCCTCCTCCCGTCGCCCCAGGACTGCACTGCTGACTTCCGCAAGCTCATCACAAGTTGTCCTCCCTCCTTTCCTTAGCACTCTCCCAACTCCCCCCCTCCGCACACCCCTGCCACCCCGTCAGGACTGCATTGTTGACTTCCGCAAGCTCATCACCAAGCAGCAGGCGTCAGCAGGAGGGGGTGGGAAGGCCAAGGGCGGGAAAGCAGCACCCGCAGCAGCAGCAAGCAAGGAGGCGCCGAGGATAGCGGTGGGGCGGGTGTTTGTGGCTGAGAAGTACGGCGGGTGGCAGGAGGACTGCCTGAGGCTGCTGCAGCAGCACTTTGACGCAGAGAAGAAGGCGTTTGCCGAGGGTGCTGACATCATGGGCGAGCTGAAAGCCAGCCCCGTCGGACAGGTGAGAAGAGGAACTTGCTGGTGGGGCGTCGGGGGTGAGAGGGAAGTAGTCGACGTCATTGCATGTGTGGCACCACCTCTCACAGTCTTTGCTCGCCTGGCACAAGCAGAGGCCATCCTTCAAGACGATGGGGCAGTCTGTGTATCTCTGTACGCATGGGGTCCATGGTGCTGCTCTTATGATTACCCCGTCTCTGTACTCATTCCGTCCTTGTGTCCCTCCCTCCTTCCCCTGCGTGGCATTCACCACCACTGCATGTGCATCACCATCAGAGGCCCGACTTCAAGAAGCTCATGGGGCAGTGCATGGGGTTCATCCGATTCAAAAAGGATGCGGCTCTCGTGCACGGGGCTCAGGTGAGACGCAGTGAAACCTTAACACCTGAATACTCCAACTCGCAAAAACCTGGATACACTAAACCTGTTCAACCGCCTGGCCCCTGGGTCTCACCCCCCTGGGTCTCACTTCCCTGGGTCTCCCCCCACCTCCCCCCTCCCCCCCCCGGTCTCACCCCCCTGGGTCTCACTCGGGTCTCACCCCCCTGGGACTCGCCTCGTCCCGGCCACACCACCCTCTCTCTCCCGTCATCCCCACCATGCCAGGCTCTGGACGTGAAGCTGCAGTTTGGTGAAGCAAACGTGCTGCGCTGCTCACACTCTCCCTACTCTTCATCTTATCTTCTCTGTCTCCCCCTCAACTGCTCGTCCCCCTCACCTCATCCCAAACACGCTGTATGCCCACCACGCCTCACCTTTCTTGCCCCCCCCCCCCTCTTCGTCTCCAGGCTCTGGACGTGAAGCTGCAGTTTGACGAGGCAAACGTGTTGCGAGAAAATGCTGACCTCATCAAGGTGAGCTATGATGGGGTCATGCTGACATCACCCATGTATTCTTGATGCAGTGCTTATTGTTAGTGGTGAGAGGTGTGCCGTGCTGCCCTTTTGCTGTTGATGGGAGGCTTGTTGTGTGCTGCATTCATCCCGTTGGCTGGGAGAAAATGATGACATATGATGGGGTGATGCTGATGTCACCCATCAATCCTTGATGGCATGCTAGTGCTTATTGTTAGTGGTGAGAGGTGTGCCGTGCTGCCCTCAGCACTTCATGGGAGACTTGTTGTGCGATGGATTCCCTTGGAGATTAATTTCTTGTTCTTCTTTGTGCGATCAAGTGTGTGTGTTGTGTTGGTGTCAGATATTCAAACGAGGTTGTTTTATCCCTGCAGTTCCGCATTTAATGCCGCCACGCCACGTGTCACATTGTGCACAGCAGCGTTTTTGCTGTTGGATGCGTAGCCAATCCCCACCAAGTCTTTCCGGCACTTGACTTCACGCTGCTCTGGTTGCATCACAACATCGTTACTTCCAGCTTGAGGAACTACCAGGGCCCTTCATTGCGTGCTCCATCACCCCCTGTGTTTGCCTTCCTTTTCTCCTTCTTATTTGGCTCGCCTCATGCTGCCCTGGTTGGCACCCAACAGCGCCAGCTGCAGCTGGAGGAATTCCCAGTGTTCCTCACAGCACGTGCACTAGGCCAATCACAATCTCTCTCTGCATTACTGCATTCTGTGCCTTGCCCGCCCTGCATCATGCCACCTAACCCAACAGCGCCAGCTGCAGCTGGAGGAATTCTCAGTGTTCCTCACTTTGGACGTCGCACCACTTTCCCCCATGCCCCTTCGCTTTCCCCCATGCCCCTTCGCTTTCCCCCATGCCCCTTCGCTTTCCCCCATTCCCCTTCGCTTTCCCCCATGCCCCTTCGCTTTCCCCCATGCCCCTTCGCTTTCGCCCATGCCCCTTCGCTTTCCCCCATGCCCCTTCGCTTTCCCCCATGCCCCTTCGCTTTCCTCATTGTTGTCTCACTATCCTTTGCGTGTCTGATCACACTATCCCGCTGCACCCCAACAGCGCCAACTGCAGCTGGAGGAGTTCTCAGTGTTCCTCACTTTGGACTCTGAGGCTGTTGCTGCCATCAATCCCAAGGACGCCTCGCGCGTCGCTGCTGCTGTGCCAGGTGGGTTCCACGTGTGTGGTTTGAGGCAAAGAATCTCTGCGCGTCAGTGTGCGGCAGTGTGTGCCCCTGTGCGAGCGTGTGTGATGTGTGTTGTGTGGAGGGAATCTCATGCACATCTTGTTGGCTGTTCTAAATACGAATATACTGTAACATTTCCACCTGCATGTTGGAAGAGATCAAGTTTTTTGTTTATCCTATGTGCCCTTCCCCACTATTGCTGTCTTGTTCAGGCTCCCCTGTTGCAATCTTCTCAGCAGCATCATAGACATCATCACAACAGTATTGATGTCTTAGAGCATGTGAGCAATTTTTGTAGGGTTGAAACAAGGCATTTCTTGGAATGCTCTTTAGAAATTCATGTAATAGGTGACGTGGCCTATGCAGATTATGCCTACCCAGTGCTTTGGGTACTAGACCTCCCTCTCTTGCTCCACATCTAGACAACATATTTGCCAGTTGGCCGAGCTTAATGAACTGTACATGTGCACAGTTACCGGGGTTCGTACAAACGCGGATTGTGAGGGTGTCCATGCTGTCATGTGCACATCAATCTAGTTGCGCCACGGAATCGCTCTCAAATCATCCTCTCTGGAAACTCCGCGTGGCAGTCTGACCCACATCATTCGTCAGAATGGGCTCATCCCAGCATGGCACCTCCGAGCCGCTCCACGTGTACACGTTTTCCACAATCGTCAGCTCTTCAAGGTGAGATGAGTTGGGGAGGCCAAATTCTACCCAGAATCCGAGATGGATAAATTACTTTCTGCCTAACTCTGATTAGCTTTGATCAGCTTTGCTCTTTCTGATTACATCATTAGTTCTCTTTATACCAGCACGGAAGGAAAATAAAGAGTTTTCCCAATTACTCGCCCACACGGCCTCTCCTGATTTAGTGTCCCGCAATGGAAGGCGATAATTCCGCCGCGACTACCACCGCGCCTCCCCCAGCGGCGGAAGCCGCCAGCCATGCGGTTGCGGAGGGGCAGGTTGCCCCCGCCAGCGGTACCAGCGCGGATGCCAGCGGTGCGAGCGCGGATGCCGGCGCCCACGACACGTCGCCGCCTGGCGGACGGGGGGGCAACCGGCGGAGACAGCCGCGGGGGGGCAGAGGGCGCGGAAGGGGCGGAGCGGGTGGGGAAGGCGGAAGGGGCGACGGTCCCAGCCATTCCGCCGGAAATGCCGACAGCAGTGGCGGAAACGGCGGCGGCGGAGGCGGGTGCGGAGATATGGGGGAAGGCAGCGTGGGGGGGCACGGCGGCGGCGGGGGGGGCGCGCAGGTGGCGCAGTGCTCGTGCGTGTCGTTTTCCCCCGAGATGCAGCGCGCGTTCTTCGAGCTGCACGCGCTGCGTCTAGGCACGGACAAGGCGACCTACGGGGACACGCTCGAGTGGCTGCTGACCGCCGCGAAACCCGCTATCGAGCAGCTTAAAACGGGGACGGGGGGAGCGGCGGGGGGAGGGGGGGCTCATTCCGGCGGCAGCGGTAAGAAGAGGAGCAAACGCAACCGGCGGAAGCAAGGGCAGGCGGGGGCTCGGGGAGGGGCGGAGGGAGGGGGAGTGGGAGGAGTGGGAGGGGGAGAAGGAGGGGGAGTAGGAGGAGGAGAGGGGGGGGGAGGGGAAGGAGGAGTGGGAGGAGGAGAGGGAGGAGGAGAGGGAGTATAGCAAGAAGACGTGGAAGGGCAGTAGCAGTGTGGCGCAGCTGTTTGTGTGACAGCGGTGCAAGTAGGTGGAGGAGGCATGTGCGGGTGTGGGCGTGTGGGTGTGTGGACTCGTGAAACCTTAACAGCGAAAGGAACGGAGTAGATAGGGATGCCACAAGGCTCTGATGGTGATGGGTCAAGGAGCAACACTGGAGCGAACCTCCTCGGGTTGTAGTGGTAGAGATAGTGGGTTGGTTGGAAGCAATGGCTTCGTTTCATAGAGCAGAAGAAAGTAAGCTGCTGGGGCAGGTGCTGTGTGTCGCTCGTGGGATCATTCAGCCTTGTTTCTTACAACTGAGTTTAGGAGATTCCTACATGGGATGGGAGGGAGTATTCCTGCTATTGATGTGATTTGATTTGCTGCAGTTGACAAGCAGGCACTGCACTGCAGTATGACAAGCCCTAGTGTACATGAAGAAGCATAACCCTTAAAGCAGGTGCGAAGATGTGCAAGTATATCCATAAGATCCGTGTCATTCACTTCACTGCATACAGTGCCACCCCTGCTGCAAGCCTATTGCGGTAACACGGCAGCCTATTGAAAGGGTTGAAATTGGTGATGCTTGGTGATTGGCTTGGCATTCAGGCAGGCAAGCATCACCACGCACATCACTGCGCCAAGAGCTTCACACCCGGCAGCACGCTCCCTTGCCTCACATCACAGCCCTGTGACTCGCCACGCCAGCCTTGCCATCGATACCCCCCTTACCACAGCCATCACAGCTGCAAGCCAATGAACTGGGCACACCACAGTTATGATTGCGCCAATCGCATCACTGCACCAGGTGTGCTTCACACCAGGCAGCACACTCCCCTGCTTGACCACCCCGTGGCTCACTGTTTTCGCCACTCCCCTCACCACAGCTATCACGACCCCGTCCTCCCACTCCCTCCCCTCCCCCCCCACCCCTCTTCGCCATCACTGCTGCAGACCCATCAGTGCACCAAAACCCATGTCGCACCGACACCATCACTGCACCAGGTGCTTCACACCCGGCAGCACACTCCCCTGCTTAATCGCCCCATGGCTCACCGGCTTAGCCACCCCCCGCACTGTCATCACAGCCCCCTCCTCCCCATCCCCTCCCCCCCTGCCCACCCGCCAGCTCCTATCCTTGCTCCTCGCCTGCTTCTTCTGCCTCTTGTGCTCCGCCTTTGGCGCCCGCTGCTGCCTACCGCCCCCTCCCACTGCCAGCCCTGCACCAGCAGCAGCAGCGCCAGTGCCCGTGCCCCCACTTACCTCATCCTCGTTATAGTCAACCTCGCTGGAAGGATCACCACCAGTGGCAGCAGCGGCAGCCTGTTGAGCCTGATCCAGAGCCATGCTACTGAAGTGCTCCAAGTCAAGGGCGTCCAGGACCAGCATCTCCCCTTCCTCTCCCTCTTCTCCTCCTCCTCCCCCTCTTCCTGCTGCTGCGCCCAACCAGAATCCCTCTTTCAAGTTTGTTGAAGTGCCCGGGGGCAGCTCAAAATGCGGCAGCTTGCCACTCAAGTAGTCCTTTAAGATAATTCGGGCTGCCCGGGTTTCGTCGGGCAGCCCAGACGAAACCACGTGCCCTCGGGACCGGGCATAGGCTTTAAGAAGCTCGGCTGCCAACGGGGGCCTGTCGGGTCTTTCATGGGCAGCTGGAGGCGGCAAGGTCAGCCCGTAAATCTTTTCAAGGGCTGCCCGCGGAACTTTTTGGGCAACCACTTCCACTGGCCCCCTCTGGTCCGTAATTCGATCAACGGGCAGCACGCCAGCAGCAACCATTTCTGACCGCTCAGAGGCAAAAGAGGGGAAAACCAGCCCCGGGCAGTCGCAGAGCATTAGCGATTCCGACACAGGCAGTGTCTGGAAATGTTTTGTCTTGCCCGGAGTGGAGGTGACACCGGTGCGTTTAGACCCAACGAGGGCGTTGATGGTTGAGCTCTTACCCACGTTGGGGTAACCAACGAATCCAACCACCACCCTTTCCTTCTCCCCTCCCTTCTCCCCTCCCTTCTTTCCTTCCTTCTGAGCTTCCCTTCTCCCTGCCACTGCCCCTGCTGCAGCAGCAGGAGCGGCAGCGGTAGCAGCAGCAGCAGCAGCAATGGCAGTGGCTTTGGCTTCCAGCAGCCGAAGCAGGCTGTCTTTCCCATGGATCTTCACATCCCCTTTCGTCACCCTCACTGCAACCTGCTCACTTCCTTTTTGCCCCTCCTCAGTGCCCTCCACGTCCTCTGGACTCACACCTCCCTCCTCCTTCCCTGCTTCCTCACCCTGCTCTTCCTCCTCCTCCTCCTCCCCTTCCTCCGCCTCCTCCCACTCACCCTCACTCTCATCCTCCTCATCCTCCTCCTCCTCCTCTCCTTCCTCCTCCTCCTCTCCTTCCTCCTCCTCCTCTCCATCCTCCTCCTCCTCTCCATCCTCCCCCTCCTCCCCCTCATCCACCCCCTCAGCCGCAGCCTTGGCGGACCAGAAGGCAAACTCCACCCCGCGGCCCTTGAGGTACCGCGCCCACATTTTACGCACAGCAGCGGGCAGCAGGTCAGCCTTATTCAGCAGCAGCAGGGAGCGGTTGCCGGCGCTGGGATCCTGGAGAGTGGTTAATTCCTTGCTGCTGCTGGGGTCCGTGTGATTGCCTTTGCCGGCCAGCTCTTGAACGTAGGCTTCGAGGTCGGGGCAGCGGTAGAAGAGAGGGTTACGGCTGTCCACCACGGTTACCACCTGGATGGAGGGGCAATAAAGAAGGAGATACCTAGGCGTTACAACTCACGACCTGTTCAAGGTCGCTTGGCAGCTGTAGACGAGAGGGTTACAGCTGTCCACCACAGTAACCACTAGATAGAGGGTATATAGAAAGGATGTTAAAACTAAAAAGAATTCCAGGTTCTCGTAATGTCTTTAGACTACAACCGGCACGAGATTCACAACGCAGCACAGCTGGTAACCAGGTAACCACTCATCAGGTGTCAACTGGTAACCAGGTGACTCACCAGGTGGCTTCTCTCCAGCACGCGCCAGAGCTGTCGCCAGATGTCCAGATTCTTCTCAAATGGGGTTACCACCAGATGGTTGTTCTCCTCCACCCTGCAAGCACAGCAGATTCAGGCACAATGCAAGCTCCCCTTGGTGCCTCAGAAATTGTCTTCTCGAATGGGGTTACCACCAGATGGTTGTTCTCCCTCCACCCTGCGAGCAATGCAGGCAAGCTCCCTTTGGTGAATGAACGTTATACTCACACGCACTATGTGCAACATAGTCACATGCAATGCAATGTAGTCACATGCAATATAATCACATGCAATGTGATTGCATGCATGATAAGGCCACCATGGGTCGTATTGACACGTGCATACCACCAACCCTCTCCTCTTCTCCAATCCCTCCTCTCCCTTCCGACACACACACATGCATACTCACAATCACACACCCACTCACACACACGCCCACTCACACACACGCACACTCACACACACACACACACACACACACACACACGCATGCACACTCTCGCTCTCTCTCTCACACACCCACTCACGCGGACAGCGATCGCCTATTTTTGAGGCGCCTCAAAAATAGACTCCACACCCACCCACTCACGCGGACAGCGATCGCCTCCATTCCAGGAAGGCAGCCTTTTCACTGGCATCCAGCTCTGCTGACGTCATGCTGGCGCTCCACTGGGGCCTGGGGGAGGGGGGACGGGCGGTTAGGGGGGGGGGGATGGGTGTGTGGGGACGCAGAGGGGGAAAATTGGACACCCAATTGGATAACTTCATTCCATAAACACTGGGGACAGGTCTTTGTCTCGCATAGAACGACGAAGAAAATCACGGCTCAACAGCATGGTATTGGGTGTAGGGGGGGGGTCATCCACCACTTGGGTAAGCACCTTGGTGAAGCTCCCTTCCGCTTTCCCCCTCCCCTCCCCTACCAAGGCCCTCTCCTCCTCGTTGCCCCTTCCCCTCGCTTGGCTCTTCTCACTCACCTCCTTGGGATGGTCAGAAGCTTCCGGTGAAGTTCCTCCTGCTCCTTGCGCTCGCTGCTGCTACTGCCGCCTCTCCCGCCTAGCGCGCCAACATCGTGACTGCGAGGGATGGGGGGAGGGAGGGGGAGGGGGAAGGGGGGGGGGGGGGACGATGAAAAGAGATGGTGGGGTGGTTATCTCCTTGCGCTCGCTGCTGCTGCTGCCGCCTCTCCCGCCCAGCGCGCCCACGTCGTGACTGCGAGGAATGGGGGGGGTGGGGGGGGGGGGAGAGGAGGAGGAGGGGAGGGGCGGGGAGGTTGGGGGAGGATGGAAAGAGCTGGTGGGGGGTGGATATCTCCTTGCGCTCGCTGCTGCTGCTGCCGCCTCCCCCGCCCTGCGCGCCCACATCGTGACTGCCAGGGTTGGCGGGAGGATGGGGGGAGGATGGCGGAGGGTGGGGGAGGGTGGTGGCGTTTGAGGCGCCTAAAATTGGACACTTCCGCGCTGTGCGCACACATCCTGACTGCCGGGGTTCAGAGGAGGGTGGGGGGAGGGATGGGGAGAAAAGGGGGAGAGGAATCTCCTTGCGCTCGCCGCTGCTGCCTCTCCCGCCCTGCGCGCCCACGTCTTGACTGCCAGGGTTTGGGGAGAGTGGGGAAGATGGTGGGGAGAGACGGGGTTTAGTGGTTAGCAGCTTGAACAGGCCCCCACGGTTCTGCGCGAGGCGCAATCATCCTCGAATCCGGGGGAGGAGACAGGGAAAGGGCGGACAGCGGAGGGCGGAGAGTCAGGCTTGGGGTTTAGCAGGAGCAGCAGAGATTCGGGTTTGGGGTTTACGGCAGCGGTAACGAACAGGTAGCAAAATCGCCGATTATCCGTGCCTGGGAAAACACGGGGAGAAGACGCAAGGCAAGACCATCAAGAAGTGCATATAATCTCGTGTAATGAGTCTGCTTTTGAGTCGACTCAAAAGTGCTAGCGGAAGTGCAGACGATCGCCGCGTTTCCGTTCCGACACGCACCCATCGAGATAGATGATCTCCGCGTTGCCTCGTTGGGCGGCAAACTCCCGCCCTGCCAGCTCAGCAGTGGTCAGCAGCTCGTCAAGGTCGCTCTGATCCACCACCGACACCAGCGCCGGTTTCGCCGCAGCTTCCGCCGCCGCGATGACGTGGCGCCTGCCCTCGTCAGCATGCTGGAACTCCGAGCCGCGGTTGAATCTATGGCGGATGAGGGAGGAGCCCAGACTCCCCGAGCCGCCTTTTTTCTTCGGCATCGCGTTGACGTGGCAGGATTGGATGAGACACGCCGGTACGGGTTACGATGATAAGGGATTAGCGCTGAAGTACGGGCTGCGATGCGGACGTATGGGTCGATGGGCGTGGGTAGGGATTAAAACGCGCAGGTGTGGAGCTAAGACGGACAGATAAGGGGGATCAGAGCGAAAAGCAGGATTGTTTAGGTGACTGACTGACTTCTACGGTCGGAAGAAAATCGAGTGGGCTTTGGAAGGGGGTCTTCGGTGGGGCTTGGTTGCGAGCCTGGGCTTGACTCGATAAACGGGAGCAACTGACGTTTGTGCTTTTAAATTAATGATTTGCATAGCATGTGAACAAGTTATAACAAACCCCCACATTTGAAGAAAACTATTGAACGAGGCATCGTGTTGAATTTATTGCCACATCCAAATAAATAGAATGCAATTGCCATTGCACGAGTGGACATTGTTTTGGATTTTGATCGGAGAGAAGGCCAACAAAAATACAATGATTTGCTTGCTGTTGACTCCATTCTTTGTGGTGTACTAGCTTCGCTTGAGAAGCTTTGCACAACATGGCACGGATCGCGTATGCAAGAGATGTCCTACATGCCCTACACATGCCCAGCATTGTACGAGCATGTGTAGGGCAGGTGCTTCATGGCTGGAATAATGGGGGCAAGGGCCATTGAAGGTTGGAAGGGATGATTGATGAGCACCAAACGCCGCTTGTACTAGTACGGTATCAACACATCAGCACAAGCTGCCAGATTTAGGGAGGGGCAAACTTTGCTGCGGCACTCTACTCAAGAATCAAAACGCCATGCCATTTATTAACATCGTAACAGCACGTTAATGCAAGGGCAACGTGCCACCGTGGTCTGTACGTGCGTGGTTTCATGATAACGTTGACTAGGATGCAAATTTTCGATAAGCGAGTGTTGAAATTGAGCCACCCATATACCAACACTTCGATACAAGCGGCAAAATGCAGGGTAGGAGCTAAGCTTGACTGCAGCATCCTACTCTGACAGAAAAAGGCCATGCCAATTTATTTACTTGGTGGCAGCGGCAGGGTAGTAGAAGCGCACGGTGCGGCCATTGAGCGGCTGGGGCATGCGGTTGTCCGTGCGGTCCTGGTTGGTAACGGCCATGATGTTCATGAACTGGATCGCTTGCTCCACAGACAGCGGCTGCGCCTTGCGCAGCACGTGCCACGACACGATCTCGCTGCACTCGGGGGTGGTGAGCGATCCGGGATACGCCCAGAACCCGCTCGACGCGTCGATCATGTCGCTCCAGAAGGTGGGCGCGACGGAGACGGTGGCCGTGGCGTTGGTCTCGACGGGCGCCTGCGGCAGCCACTGGCGGAGCCACGCGGAGTCGGAGTCGTGGCGGTGCACGCGCAGCATCACGCCCACCACGGCCAGCTTGTTGGGGTCCACCGTGTGCACGTGCACGAAGTGCGCCTCCATGGGCGCGAACAGCCCGTTGATGGCGTGCTCCGAGTACGCGTGCACGTGCACCTGCAGCAGCTTGTAGTCGCCCGACGCCAGGTGCAGCAAGTGCGTCTCGTCCGCCGCCGGGATAACCTCTGTGGAAAGAAGAGAGCGAGGGAATTGGATTGGGACGGGAACGGGGACGGGAAAAGCAAGCCGGGGAAGCGCTGGACGGGGCGGAATGCAGCGCGGGAGACGATGAACGCGCAGGGCAAGAAGGGCAAGAGATGAGGCGCGCAGGCTTGATGGTTTCGTATGCGCGGAGCATACGCGGAAAGGGAAGCAAGAAACTCTCATAGTATCAAATTACGCTCGCGTTTTGCGTCGGGTTTTGGACTCACGGATGGTGGAGCCCTTGTTGGCGACGGTGGCCGTCTTGCTGGCGCCGTACTCGAGCGCAAAGAGCTCGGGCTTACCGCCCTGCACTGTCCGGTCCATCACGATGTTCACCGGCGACTGCTTCTCGCCCGTCGCGCACGGGCCCTGCCAGTGGGGAGACGACGCGCACGCATTGAAAGAGGAAGAGATGAGTGAGCCGCATCAGGTTCGGCAACTGCTGCTTGACCGTCATGCACGCGCGCTGGAAGGGGAGACGACGCGAGACAGTGGAAATGAAAGCGAAGTGCGAGAATTGACAACGGAAGCGAAGCGAAGCCACGGTACTAGCGAGGGATCGAGAACGGAGTTGGTGTGCTATGACGGCATCGTGAAGAGCATGCATCAAACGCGGTTGCGTCGTACTTCATCTTAAAAACGCCGAGAAGGAGAAAGGCGAGAGTTTGGTCCGTACCATCCAGTCGATGCCGCTCTTCTCGTAGTTGAACGCGCCGGTTGCGGCATTGGCGATAGCAGCGAAGGCTGCGAGCAGTACAAGAGCGACTGAAAGTGCGCGAGCCATGGCTAGGTGCTGCAAGTCGTTGAGAGATCGGGAGGCAGCTCGGGAAGATGAGACGATGGTTGTTGCTGTTGATGTTGGAAAGTGCGGAGGGTCGGGTATTTGTATGACACGAACTTTTGGTGTGTCACGGATCGCGCTTCCCGTCGCTGGACATGGTAGTGTTTTGTGGTTTGGGCTATCTGGGAATGTCATCACGAGCTGTTCACGAAGAGGAATGATGAAGTCAGCGAAGACGCGACATCTCGCCACTGCAGGATCCTGCCCTGGCGAATGCCCGTCAATGTCGTCTAGAAGGTTTTCCTCGTCGAGCATATTCACTCCGCTTTGACAGCGTCGACTGTAGGCTGTGCTGGCGAAGGCTGAATTCGCCCCAGAATGCAAATTGTTTGAAATGTTAGCCTAGGTCCATTCTGGTTATCGCCGTAACGAGTGGTTCTCACCGCGAGGTTCTCGAGTCGCCCATCCTTTCCACCCTCTCGAACAACGCAGCATGACGTGACATGCCACGGGGGGCAAATTTCCAGGTGCAGTTCGGATCTGTGGAATTGTGGGGTTTTGTTTGAATGGCGCCGTGATATCCGCTTCCGCGTGTGTGTGTGGTTGCAGGCTGCCTTGCCAGGGGAGGATGAACCTTACCTAATGACGCGTACAAGCTTCCACTCTTCATGAATGGCTCAATTCGGTTACAGTAGTTTGTTCACAGGTATCCCATTTTTAAAATGAAAACGAAGCAAAGTCACGTCACGGGCATGGAATGGATGGGGGCGATTCGTGATCGTCCCTGCGAGAGCCACTCGTTACGCGCCGCGAACAGGATGGACCTGGGCTAACAATCTGACCAAGTCGCATTTCAGAGTCGGATTCAGCCTTCGCTGGGACAGCCTGGACAGTGAACCGAATTTCCCCCGGTTCAGCCAAGAATGTGCTCGAAGAGGAATTGTTCGCAATTCGCTATGTTGGGAATTTGTCAGGGCGAAAGTCTCCCAGTGTGGCGACAGTTCGCCCCTCTGTTGCGACATTCCTCTTCGTGATCTGTTTCGCGAAGGCTGTCCATGACAGCCTTACCTATCCCGTGCCAAGAATGTGCTTCGAAGCGATTCGTCAATCTCAGCAGCAGCCCCCGTCATACAAACACAATACTTCCCATCTCTATCCCTTCACCAGCGAACTCTCGTCAGGGCCACGACATTTATCGACTGCTCCCCGCAATTCAGCGACGTGACAAGCTCTAACGCCTGCAGCTATGGCGCGCTCACTTTCAGTCGTCCTGGTGCTGCTCGCGGCTTTCGCCGCTGTCGCCAATGCCGCGACCGGCGCTTTCAACTACGAGAAGAGCGGCATTGACTGGATGGTAGGACCCAGAGCCTTACCTCCCTTGTGGCTGTTTTCTATGCCACCGACGTAAAATCCTTCCTCAAATTTCAGTGCGACACGTACACTCCTTACCGCCACCAACACTCCCTCCGCACAGTTTATCAATGACACTCCAACATTCACTGCTGACCAACATTCACTCCTCCATCACCCTCTATTCCAATCATCATACCTGCAAACCACATGTCCAACGCCCGCGCGCGACGGGCGAGCGGCAGTCGCCGAACCTGATGCGACTCCCTCATCTCTTCCTCTTTCTATGCGTGCGCGCCGTCTCCCCACTGGCAGGGCCCGTGCGCGACGGGCGAGAAGCAGTCGCCGGTGAACATCGTGATGGACCGAGCAGTGCAAGGCGGCAAGCCCGAGCTCTTCGCGCTCGAGTACGGCGCCAGCAAGACGGCCACCGTCGCCAACAAGGGCTCCACCATCCGTGAGTCCGAATTCGACACAAGTAGAAAGCTCAATTAGTACGACGCACGAAACCGAGAGTGGAATTCCTGTTCTTCCGTGCTTCTCTTTCGGCAACACGAAACCGCGTCGAAAGAGATTCTGATGAGCCACTTCCTCATCATTCCGACGCGCATGTTCCGCGCACATGAATTACTCCCGATCAGCGCGTCCCATTTCTCTCGCCTATCTCGCCTTGCGCGTCCATCACCTACCGCGCCGTATTTCGCCCCCGTCCCTCGTTTCCCCGGATGCCTTATCCCGTCCGCGTCCCAACCCGATTCCGTTCCACCCTTCTTCTCGCAGAGGTTATCCCGGCGGCGGACGAGACGCACGTGCTGCACCTGGCGTCGGGCGACTACAAGCTGCTGCAGATGCACGTGCACGCGTACTCGGAGCACGCCATCAACGGGCTGTTCGCGCCCATGGAGGCGCACTTCGTGCACGTGCACACCGCCGACCCCAACAAGCTGGCCGTGGTGGGCGTGATGCTGCGCGTGCACCGCCACGACTCCGACTCCGCGTGGCTCCGCCAGTGGCTGCCGCAGGCGCCCGTCGAGACCAACGCCACGGCCACCGTGTCTGTCACGCCCACCTTCTGGAGCGACATGATCGACGCGTCGAGCGGGTTCTGGGCGTATCCCGGGTCGCTCACCACCCCCGAGTGCAGCGAGATCGTGTCGTGGCACGTGCTGCGCAAGGCGCAGCCGCTGTCTGTGGAGCAGGCGATCCAGTTCATGAACATCATGGCCGTTACCAACCAGGACCGCACGGACAACCGCATGCCCCAGCCGCTCAATGGCCGCACCGTGCGCTTCTACTACCCTGCCGCTGCCACCAAGTAAATAAATTGGCATGGCCTTTTTCTGTCAGGGTAGGATGCTGCAGTCAAGCTTAGCTCCTACCCTGCATTTTGCCGCTTGTATAAATGTGTTGATAAGTGGCGTGATTTCAACTCCCTAAGCCAATTGCATGCCGTTTGCCTGTTGCAAAACTCATCCACAGTGAACACTTGCTCAGGGATTTCCGTGTCCCCTACCCTGCCATGACCCTGCCCAATTAGCCCACCGTCTGTACAATGTGAAAACATATGCGCATGATACATGATACATGAACATCTCATCCTATGTGGGAGAGTCCCGTTTACAAGCTGAATGGTTGGCTTTGCATATTCTTGAATGAAATTTGTTTTTTTCGGGCTACTGCTCTACAAAGCTACGTATCCTCCTCTCCTGCTTGTTCTCTTTTTGATCCGAATGACAACTGTACCATTCTGAAATTCACATTGGATTGGGCTACCTCATGGAAAGACACTTCGTATGCTAAGCTGCGACACACATATTCAGCAGAATGTTTCGCGGGTTTTTGCAGGCATATGTTTCATGTTAGAATCCGTTCATAGATTATATGTACCATGATTGTCGTTATGTTGTCTCTTTACACACGTTGTAGGTGAGAACTTATATGGTACTTTATGTGCCAGTGTATTCTACCCATATTTGAACGGAACCTTTGTGGTGCGCTCCAAACAAATTTCTGACGCAAGACAGGCCGGGCGGAGCGATTTGGCAGGCGATGGTCTTTCACCCATTTGCCAACATGCGCCTCGATTATAGAAGATTTGCGACTTGGCAGGTCCATGCGCGGTCCGATGTTCTTCAAATATTGGCCCAAATGTTGTCACCGCTCAGCGGGAAACCGGAGCCCCGGTTGGGGAATTGGCGCCCCTGTTTTGCTCTCTGGCTGCAACTCTCCCCAACTCTCCCCAAGGCAAACCTCCCCACTGCCCGCCAACATCCTAGTGCTGGGGGAACCGTCTTTTCCGTTCTGACTTGCTCCAACCACGAATTACCACCGTCCCGCAAGACTCGCAAACAAGCAGCCGCTTATATTTATAGGTCACGAACGCGTAGCTTCGCACTATTTCGAATTGAACGACAGTGTAGAGCCAAGCAGGTAGGAAAATCAAGTACGCTTTCTTTCGTGGTAGCCGCATCTTTTACAGGCCACCAAACACTGAGGATCTACGTCAAGAACAGCGTTTTAATTCCGCAAATTACTGGCGATCATGAAGGCCTCCACGAGGCAGTCGATACACGCAGTGCGAGGCCGCCTCCAGGCCTCCACAATCCTTTTGATGATCACCGTCTTCGCCGCGACACAAGGCGCTGCTGCGTTGTCAAAGCTTCCGAACACGCCATGCGAGGGCGACTCCAGCCAATTCGCGCACTTCTGGTGGCCACGTCTCGTCAGAACCATTCGCGGCCGAAGCGCTCTCGAGACGGCAGGTGCAGGCAGTGACAATTTTGTGGCGACGGGGGCATCCGCAGCGCCTCGGAAACTCGGCGCGCAGTTAGCAGCGCCTGGATCTTCGGGCCCCACTTTCGCCGAAGTTCTTGCTGCCTCTGTTGCCACCCCTGGCAGCGCCGACCCCGCTGGGGCAGTTTCTGCCACCGTGCTCCCTGCTTCTACTGCTGCTGCTTCTGCTGCCGCGCCTGCTGCTACCCAGCCCCCCAAATCCGAATCCGCTCCTCCTCCTGCCGCGGCGAAGACTCCTCCTGGGAAATTGCCCTCTCCTGGCAAGGGGACACCCGCCAGTGGTGCCGCGGGCGGCGCTCCCGCTTCCCTACCTGCACCCGCTAAGCACTTGAGCCCCGATTCGAAGTCCGCCCCTTCCATTCCGAAGACCGATGGCCCCACGCCGAAGCAGACTCATCCCGCGCCGAAGATCAACCCCACGTCGAAGGGCAACCCCACGCCGAAGCAGGCCAACCCCACGCCGAAGCAGCCTGCCTCGTTGCCAAAGCTTACGCCTGATCCCAAACCGAACACACCTGGCCCGAAGCAGACTTCGCCTCAGCCCAAGACAGGTACTCTCCCCTCTAAGCCCGCTACCCTCCCCCCTAAGCCCGCCGCTTCCCAGCCTGAGCCCGCTTCTCTTCCCCCTAAGCCCGCAGCTTCCGCAAGGCCTCTCGCGACCGTCCGATCGACCGCTAGCTCGCCGCTGGCAACAACCAAGGCCGTCAACTCGACCGGCAATTCGACCACTCCGGCAGGAAACAGCACCGTGTCGGCCGGAAACTCTACCACGCCGCCGGCTCATGCGGTGGGATCGCGTGATTGCCAGTACTTGCAGCTGAAGCAGCTTCACACGTGCGCCGTTGGATATGCTCGTTCCGCCGGGATTCGCGGCGGCCAATGGCCGACTTCCTCGTTGTTTGAAGTTGAAACGGAAGTTGACACGCTGGAGTATGCGAAGCTTCCGGAGAAGTCGCTCCGGTACGCGCTGATGTACCTCCCGCAAGGGGCGATCATCACGTTTTCGCGAAGCATGGAGATCGTGTTACAGGGTAACCTGTTCGTGCGTTCGCGAGTGACGATCGATGGGCGCGGCGTGCACGTGCGCATTACCAACGGCAGCATCGTCCTCCAGAACGTGAATGACGTCATCATTCATAATATCGAAGGTATGTGCACAGTGCTTGTGTCCCTTTCCCGCATCATCCGCCCACTCCTCCCCCCACTCCCCCCCTCTCGTCCCCTTCCCTCTAATGCCACACACTCATCTTCCATCCTCTCCCCCCAATGCCCTCTCTCCTTGCTCGTTCGGGGTTCATTCGTAACAGTGTCGGGTAACCCGCGCGGCGATCTGATTCCGATCTACAACAGCAGCCGCGTGTGGATCGACCACTGCCGTCTGCAGGATGCGCTCACGGGCACGGTCGACGTGGCCAAGGGCTCCACTGACGTCACCATCTCGAATTGCTACATCAGCAGCCGCGGGCAGACCATGCAGGTACAGCCTCCCCCAGAAGATTCCTGCACTCCCCAAAATCACTTGCACTTCCTCCTCTGCCACATCCTTATATTCCCACTTTCCTCCCCGCTCCTCCGTGCATCCCGCTCCTCCGTGCATCCCGCTCCTCCGTGCATCCCGCTCCTCCGTGCATCCCGCTCCTCCGTGCATCCCGCTCCTCCGTGCATCCCGCTCCTCCGTGCATCCCGCTCCTCCGTGCATCCCGCTCCTCCGTGCATCCCTCCGTGCATCCCGCTCCTCCGTGCATCCCGCTCCTCCGTGCATCCCGCTCCTCCGTGCATCCCGCTCCTCCGTGCATCCCGCTCCTCCGTGCATCCCGCTCCTCCGTGCATCCCGCTCCTCCGTGCATCCCGCTCCTCCGTGCATCCCGCTCCTCCGTGCATCCCGCTCCTCCGTGCATCCCGCTCCTCCGTGCATCCCGCTCCTCCGTGCATCCCGCTCCTCCGTGCATCCCGCTCCTCCGTGCATCCCGCTCCTCCGTGCATCCCGCTCCTCCGTGCATCCCGCTCCTCCGTGCATCCCGCTCCTCCGTGCATCCCGCTCCTCCGTGCATCCCGCTCCTCCGTGCATCCCGCTCCTCCGTGCATCCCGCTCCTCCGTGCATCCCGCTCCTCCGTGCATCCCGCTCCTCCGTGCATCCCGCTCCTCCGTGCATCCCGCTCCTCCGTGCATCCCGCTCCTCCGTGCATCCCGCTCCTCCGTGCATCCCGCTCCTCCGTGCATCCCGCTCCTCCGTGCATCCCGCTCCTCCGTGCATCCCGCTCCTCCGTGCATCCCGCTCCTCCGTGCATCCCGCTCCTCCGTGCATCCCGCTCCTCCGTGCATCCCGCTCCTCCGTGCATCCCGCTCCTCCGTGCATCCCGCTCCTCCGTGCATCCCGCTCCTCCGTGCATCCCGCTCCTCCGTGCATCCCGCTCCTCCGTGCATCCCGCTCCTCCGTGCATCCCGCTCCTCCGTGCATCCCGCTCCTCCGTGCATCCCGCTCCTCCGTGCATCCCGCTCCTCCGTGCATCCCGCTCCTCCGTGCATCCCGCTCCTCCGTGCATCCCGCTCCTCCGTGCATCCCGCTCCTCCGTGCATCCCGCTCCTCCGTGCATCCCGCTCCTCCGTGCATCCCGCTCCTCCGTGCATCCCGCTCCTCCGTGCATCCCGCTCCTCCGTGCATCCCGTTCCTCCGTGCATCCCGTCGTTCTCTCACAATGCAGCTCGGTCGACGCGGAGGAAGCGGACAAGGCGATGCGGGTGACGGTCTACCGCAACTGGTTCAACGCAGCCCGGTCGCCTCTTTCTCCCCCCCTTTGCTCATTTTCTTACCCCATCTATTCGTGGCACTCCCCTCGCTTTGCAGCTCGGCCTGTCCGACGCGGAGGAGGCGGACAAGGCCATGCGGGTGACGGTCTACCGCAACTGGTTCAACGCATCGGGCTCCATGCAGCCGCTCTGCCGCAAGGGAAGCTGCCACGTGGCAAACAACGTCTACTCCGCCTGGTCCTACTACTGCCTCGCCGCCCGCCGCGGCGCGCTCGTCCGGTCAGAGAAGAACTTTTTCCGGCCTGCCCAAGGGTCGGCTCGGCGGGAGGTCACCCCTTGGTATAGGGGCATGCCGGCAACAGACGTGTGGTACGACGCTTCAGTCACCATCGCTTCGTTCCAAGATTACTTGGCTGGAGGCGCGACGTTTAATACGACCGCATACGCCGGCGCCACTCCGATCTTCACGCCGCCTTACGCGCTGTCGCTGCCGCGGAATCCACGTCAGATGGAGGCTATTTTGAAGGTCAACTGCGGTCCCAAGTACGATGCCGAGTCAGCACTTCCCCCTGCCTCGTCGGAATTCCTGCCACCTGCCCCACCGGCCCCAACCCCCACCAATACCACCAATACCACCGCTTCTACTACTGCAACTGCGAACACTACTGCCGCTGGTAACAGCACCGTTACGAGTAACACTACCTCGCCTCCGTCGTCGAACGACTGCCAGTATTCCCCTTCTGGTGCCGGAATCGGCCTTGGGAATTGCTCGATGGGTTTCGCTGCTGCGGGCTTGGTGGGTGGCGCTGCGAAAACCACATACGTGGTCACTCTAGAGGAGGATTCGACATCCGCTACAAGACAGGGCTCGCTGCGGTGGGGCATCGCGAATTTCTACAAAACTGGCGCTTATATAAAATTCGCTCGGGATATGACGATTCAGCTGGTGGCGCCGCTGTATGTGAAATCGTTCATGACTCTGGATGGGCGAGGGGTCAACGTGAAAATCGTGGGAGACAGCTTGCTTGTGCAACACTCAACGCAAGTCATCATCCACAACATAGAATGTACGTCATGGGTCATTCTTCATGTAATGCTTGTCATGCGGCTCTATTTCCAACTCTTTGGCACCACATTGTGTCAGACCATTGCCAGCTTTGCCACTCTTTGCCGACCATTTCCCAACCCCCCAAATCAGACTCTTCTCATTCAATACTCCCCTTTCCACCACCCCCAATCATTCACTCTCAATCAACTCAACCCCCTCAATCCCTCTCTTCCCCCCACTCCCCCATTCCACGACCCCTTCCTACCACCAGTTTCCAGCAGCAGAACAGCCCCGGCTACCATCTCTCTCTACAACAGCAGTGCCGCTTGGATCGACCACTGCCGCTTCTCCAACCTCTCAGCGTCTACTCCTGCTATTGAACTCGCCCGTAACAGCACTGCGGTTACCATCTCCAACAGCCACTTCCAAGGCACTCTCGGCACGCAAACTCTTGCTGCCACTGCAAGCCCAGCCTCAGGGACAGGCTCGGCACTGCACCTGGGCCAATCAGACGGCGACGCGATCAACAGCGGCATGAATGTTACAATCTACAGGAACTGGTTCGAGTCCTTATCTGCAATGCAGCCGCTATGCCGGTTAGGCAAGTGCGATGTGGCAAATAATCTCTACACCAACTGGACTGGGAGTGCTGTAGAAGCCAGGGCAGGCGCCCAGGTGCTGCTACAGAGCAACCTCTTTATAAGTGGTTCTGACTCGGTACAAGTCGTGGCGAACACCACATCCATCCCACCGGGTACAGTAGCAGAAGCAGCGAACTCCACCAACACTATCAAGAGCACAACTGGGGTAGGGGCAGCTGCTGCGATGGGTCCTACAGTGAACGCCTCTCTGGTTTTCAGTCCGCCATACGAGGTGCCTCTAGGGGATCCGAGCACGCTGCTCTTTACTGTCTTCATGAAGCTCAATGCAGGGCCCCACGCCAACTGACCTGCCAGCCGCATGCCAACCAAGGGTGAATGCGCCCCATGCCTGGTAAGGTGCAGCGACCCATGGGAGCAAGCAGAGAAGGCAGGGAGCTCAACTGATGGGCCGACTAACTGAACTCCCTCCTTTCCCTCTGCTCAGAGCCCCTGCAGGGGCTGCATGGATTCACTGTGAGTCTGCTGGGTGTAGCTAAGGGCAAAAAATGCGATAGCTGCAGCTATGGAGGCTGCATGCAGCCAGGGTCGAAACTTTCTGTCAGCTCTTCGATGACAGTGAAGATAGTTAGGGCAGTGTAGTGACAAAGATATATAGTATGATTAAATACCCCACAAATAACAAATTACCACCTTCACTTATATGCCTTAACACATGGCAGATGCTGCCAGTACCTACATCCACTCACTTATATCCACCATTCTCAGCATCTGCTATTGTACCACCCACCCGTATGTCTCACAGGATGCATGTGCGAGCACTAGTAAGCAACTCTTGACCTAATAGCTTCTGACCCAGGCGGTAAACCACACAGAGGGCTTTGTGCCGCATACTGCACACAGGGGCAGGAGCATTGAGGTGGGATGCACATGCTAGTCAATCATATCAGAGCAGCTCTTGAGACAGCAGCTCCTTCTGACCCAAGTGGTAGACCACACACAGAGACTTGTGCAGGGACAGCAGCATGCAGAGGGTTGCACGGACCAACACATGCGGATATGGAGAGAGACACTCGCTGGACATGTGCATGCACGGGCTGCATCTGTGCTTCCTACTTTGCATCAAGCCTCCACTCTGCCATGCTCACCTCTTATCATCAAGCACACCAGTGCGCGCATGTGCATGCAGCCAAGCTGCATCATCTTCGGAAGACCCTGTTTGTAGCATGTTGTCGAGTCTGCATGAAGGGGTAGAGGAGAGGAGGGGAGATGTAGCTGAGGAGGGGAGCATGCTACATGAAGAGGAGAGAGTGAGAAAGGGTAGTCGAGAATAGGGAAATCACCACACCCGAGCCTTGGGCCCTTTCCATGATTTTGCAGGGTATTCTTGAGAATTCTCAAGCATACCCTTTCAGCATGTTGTCGAGTATGCACCATGGGGTAGAGGAGAGCGTGGGAAACGGTAGCCGAGAATAGGGAAATCACCACGCCGGAGCCTTGGCCCCTTACCTTTGCTGCAGAAGCTGTTGCAGCAGCAGCAGCGGCTGTGCATCCCCCCCTCCTGCCTCCCTCACTGCCTCCTCTGCGTCTGCAGGGTTGAGAGGAGCCTCCCCTGCAGCTGCCTTGCACTGGAATGGGCAGCAGAGGAGAAAGGAGGAGACGAGTTGTGCAGGTGACTTTCTGAGTTATATTCTTGATGTAATGAGAAGAAGAAAAGGAGGCGAGCAGCGATAGAGGTCAGTGGGACAAAGAATAGCGGGGTGAAGATTTGAGTACCGTGGTAGCAGCAACCAGATAACTATAAGGCCTCCCCTACCATACATACCGAGCATACCAGGCATACCGAGCATACCAAGCATACCAAGCATACCAAGCATACCGAGCATACCAAGCATACCAAGCATACCAAGCATACCAAGCATACCGAGCATACCAAGCATACCATGCATACCAAGCATACCAAGCATACCAAACATTTCCAAGCATACCAAGCATACCAAGCATACCACGCATTTCCAAGCATACCAAGCATAACAAGCATACCAAACATTTCCAAGCATACCAAACATACCAAACATTTCCAAGCATACCAAGCATACCAAACATTTCCAAGTATACAAAATATTTCCAAGCATACCATACATGCAATGCACATGCCATACATGCCACACATGCCACACATGCCACACATGCCACACATGCCACACATGCCACACATGCCATACATGCCACACATGCCACACATGCCATACATTCCATACATGCCACATCTATAACCATACTGTACCCCACATCACCACACACACCTCCATCAGCACTGTAATGGCAGCAGCCACCTGTGCTTCCGAAAGTGAGAGCACTCGCAGTGCTGCCACCATGCCGTGAGGCAACACATTTACATGTTCACCTTCGTCCTCATGCTCCTGCCACACATGCATCAGCAGGCACATACCTCCGTGTGTGCCGTCGTGGCAGCAACCACCAGCGCTTGACAGAGTGAGAAAGAGTGACAAACAAGGCCATTCTATGCCACACATGCATGAGCAGCCACATACCTCCATGAGTATTGTTGTGGCGGCAACCACCTGCAGTTCAGTGAGTGAGAGCACTCGCAGTGCCGCCATCATGCCGTGGGGAAACAGGTCTCCAGGCTCATGCCCCCCCTCCTTTTCCTGCTGCTGCTGCTTCTCCTGCAGCCCCTCTTCCTTGCACTGCGCTTGCCATTTCTCCTGGTCCTGGTCCTGTGCCTCATGCTGCTGCTGCTGCGGCTCTTGCTGCTGCTGCTCCTGTGCCTCATGCTGCTGCTGCTGTGGCTCCTGCTGCTGCTGCTCCTGGTCCTCATGCTGCCCCTGAAGAATCTTTGGATTCTTCGGGCAACGAGGAATGATCCACTGTAGTGAGAGGTCCTGTAAGGAGGATGACGTGCGACTGGAGAGAATGAACGGTATAACATGATTTTTGAGTCGACTCAAAAATCACCTGAGAATGAACGGTATAACATGGAGCATGAAGCATGACGAGCGAGGGGGCAGAGCACAGGATGAGAGCCAGTGACGGCAGGACATGAATCATGCTTATTGATTATCCTGCCAAACAACAAGCATATCATCAATATAGAAACCGCTTGTAATGAGTCTGCTTTTGAGACGACTGGAAAGCAGAATCATGCATACTAGTGATCCTTCAAGGTGAACCAAGGGCACGAATCCTGTGGGAACCATCTGCACCCTTCTCAACACCTAGTAGAACCATTTGCTGATAGTACCTAACGCTTTTGTTGCTCGCCACCTGGATAGCCTGTGGCTGCACTACAGCTTGGTGTCAGTCAGCACTTGGAGAGGGTGAGCAGTGGTGGGCAGAGGTGTGCACATGGGTGCTGCAAGGTCAAAAGCTGCAAGGTCTATAGCAGCAAGGTCGGGAAATGAGTGCCAGCATGTTACCTGTATAGCTAGTAGGTGATGTGGCAGTACCTCACTTGGCAAGATCTCATTTGCCGAGGTCTCATTTGCCAAGGTCTCACTTGCCGAGGTCTCACTCACTTGCCAAGGTCTCGCTTGGCAAGGTCTCACTTGCCGAGGTCTCACTTGGCAAGGTCTCACCTGGCAAGGTCTGTACCACACGTACCTGGATTGCGAGCAGCTGCAGCTTGGTGTCGGCACATGGGTCGTCCTGCAGCTGAGCAGCGGGGTAGTTGAGCTGACAGTGGGCATGTCAAAAGGGTGGAACGCAGAGGGAAGAAGTGGAACGAGGAGGTGAGGAGAGGGCAAGGCAGGAGGCGCCAAGAGGAGAGTGGATGGATGGAAGAGAGAAGAGCGGCTGGGCAGAACTGGGAGAAGAGTGGCTGAGTCCAATAGAACTCAGCCAAGAGGAGAGTGCCAAGAGGAGAGTGGATGGATGGAACTGGGAGAAGAGCGGCTGAGTCCAATAGAACTCAGCCAAGAGGAGAGTGCCAAGAGGAGAGTGGATGGATGGAACTGGGAGAAGAGCGGCTGAGGGGCAGAGTGATAGCATGGATATGCTTGAATATCCTTAATGATAAATATTTCAGCATCAATCTGCTCAAAGCTGTGATACAGTGGTCCAGGGGCAGAGAGTTGTGGGGGCAGGGGCATGTGTGGGGGGCATACCATGAGGCGCTCAATGGAACACCGGTTAATACGTGGCCATGTTGTCAATACGTGGCAGCCAATACGTGACTTTTGGGGCACGTGTGGGGGGCATACCATGAGGCGCTCGTGGGGGTTGTTACGTATGGCAAAGCCGTAGAGAAACAGAAGCTCCTGGTGGGAAGCAGGGAGGGCGGGCGCGTAGGGGGGAAGGACACTGGCCCAGGGGGAATGGAGAGTATGGCAGGAGTTCTCGTGTATCTGTGTGCTTCTGGCACTGCTTCTCCTCTTGTGAGTTGGCGGACTTGGGTAGTTGGCAGACTTGGGTAGTTGGCGGACTTGGGTAGTTGGCGGACTTGGGTAGTTGGCGGACTTGGGTAGTTGGCGGACTTGGGTAGTTGGCAGACTTGGGTGGTTGGCGGACTTGGGTAGATGGCAGACTTGGGTAGTTGGCGGACTTGGGAAATTGGCGGACTTGGGTAGTTGGTGGACTTGGGTAGTTGGTGGCGGACTTGGGTAGTTGGCAGACTTGGGTAGTTGGCGGACTTGGGTAGATGCCAGACTTGGGTAGCTGGCGGACTTGGGTAGCTGGCACCGGCGAATACCATGAGGCACTCGCGGGGTTGTTGGGCATGGCAAGACCGCAGAGAAATAAAGGCTCCTGAACACCTGAACACCTGAACACCTGACTACCTGAACACCTGACTACCTGAACACCTGACTACATGAACACCTGACTACCTGAACACCTGACTACCCCTCCACATGTACTCACCTCTTTGCCCCCCACAGGGGCCACAACTCCAGTGGCTCCCGCACACTTCAATTCCGTTCAAGCAACTCTCAGCACTGTATTTGCGTCGTTCCCCAGACAAGAACACGCTGTGCTGCCCGCCTAATGTACGCACCTCGTGGCCCCCCACAGCAACACACAAACAGAATCGCCTGACTGTGCCACCGCATGTACTCACCTCGTTGCCCTTGTCCCCATAGCTGATGGTCACCTCGTTGCTCCCCACAGTGGGCAACACTGCAGGGGGTGTAAATGGGTTGGGGAAGGTGGAAGGGGCAACAGATAAAATGCGAGGGAAGAGATGAGTGTGAGGGGGAGGGGGGCAGATGCGTACAGGAGGTATACAGCATGTTGAAGTATCTGAGAGTCAGGACAGAGGCATCATCTTGCAGCAAGCACACAGCATCAGAGTCGGCCATCCGTTGAAGTGGCTGCGAGGCTGACACTGAAGCTGCTGCTGGCGCCTAAAAAGAATGCATGTTAAGTACCTGAGAGTCAGGGCAGAAGCATCACCTTGCAGCAGGCACACAGCATCAGAGTTGGTCATCGGGTCAAGTGGCTGTGCGACTGACGCTGAACCTGCCACCCCTCCGTCTCCCATCCCATCGCCTTCTCCCCCGTTGCCACTCTTTCCAGAAAAGCGCGTGAGCTGATTGGCTGTGAAGACCTCCCATCGAGCGCAGGGAAGCATGGCTGCAGGAGAGGAGAGGCAAAAGGAGAAAAGCAGGGGTTGAGAAGCTTGCAGTTAGGTGATCTGGTTTAGCGGAGACAGTTAAAGTGCGTTGATTGGCTGTGAGGAGCTCGTATCGAGCGCAGGGGAGAATGGCTGCCGGAGAGAGGAGAGAGAGACAAGAGGAGACAAGCAGGGGTTGAGAGGGCTAGGTAAACGACAAACAAGTAATGGGTGATGGTAACTGGGAAGGAAACTGAGGATTCGGAGGAGGCCAATTGACGTACAGTGGTTGCAGAAGTCGATTCCAGGGACAATCGCCTCCAGACAGCGTGACGCGGAAGACGCAGGAGTGGCATCGCGAACAGCATCACCAGCATCACCAGCATCACCAGCATCACCAGCATCAGCAGTATCAGCGTCAGCGTCAGCAGTAACAGTAGCATCATCAGCATTACCAGCGCCAGCGACATCAGCATAAGCAGAGCGGCAGGGAGTGAGGGGGAGGCTGAGAGCTCGCGACCAGAAGATGGAATTGGCCCTGATGTAACGGGAGGACGCATTCACGAGATGTGGATGGGTGTGTGGAAATAGGGGAGTGTGAAAAGCTGAGGAAGAGGGTTGCATGTTGTGAGGAGGCGGAGGATTGTCAACACATGCGCACACATGGAGAGATTGGATTGGTCGATAAAATGGGACAGGAGGACGGGCGAGAGGTGCAACAAGCGAGGGGGCGACGACGCAGAGAAAGGCAATGGATGGGGGAGTCCGTACCAGAGGAAATCATCCAGGGAGATGCCGGTGGAGGCGTCGCCACTCTGCCCGCCCTCTGCCACCACAGCAGCAAAGAGGGCACCAAACCAAGACAAGGGAACACGGGAGAGTACGGACCACCTTACATACCAGAGGAAGTCGTACAGGGAGATGCTGGTGGAGGCGTCTCCACTGCGCCCGTCCTCTGCTTCCCCCACCACAACAACAAAGAGCGGCTCCACCTGTTCTTCATACACACGCCTCAAGTTGGCCCTCTGGGCAGAACAGGGCGATGGAGAGACAAGTGCACCAGAGGATGGCATCAAAGCATGCACAATCACACAGGCTGAGACACTGTCTACCATCGCCCCCTGCTTCCCCCACCACAGCTGCAAAGAGCGGCTCCACCTGCTACTTGTACTCACGCCCCAAAGCCCATCCAAGCCCATCCAAAGCCCATCCAAGTCCATCAAAGCCCATCCAAGCCCATCCAAGCCCATCCAAGCCCATCCAAACCCATCCAAGCCCATCCAAAGCCCATCCAAAGCCCATCCAAGCCCATCCATAGCCCATCCAAAGCCCATCCAAAGCCCATCCAAAGCCCATCCAAAGCCCATCCAAAACCCATCAGAGCCCATCCTAAGCCACCACCCGGAGTGGTTTTCCACTGGTTTGCCACCACCCTGTGTGGGTTTCCACGGTTTGCCACCACCCTGAGTGGCATTCCACAAGTTTGCCACCACCCTGAGTAACTTCCCACTAGTTTGCCGCCACCATCGGTGGTTTTCCACTGGTTTGCCAGAACCCCGAGTGGTTTTCCACTGGATGGCCACCACCCTGAGTGGTTTTCCACTGGTTTGCCACCACCGTGAGCGGTATTCCACTGTTTTGCCACCACCCTGAGTGGTTTTCCACTGGTTTGCCACCACCGTGAGCGGTATTCCACTGTTTTGCCACCACCCTGAGTGGTTTTCCACTGGTTTGCCACCACCGTGAGCGGTATTCCACTGTTTTGCCACCACCCTGAGTGGTTTTCCACTGGTTTGCCACCACCGTGAGCGGTATTCCACTGTTTTGCCACCACCCTGAGTGGTTTTCCACTGGTTTGCCACCACCGTGAGCGGTATTCCACTGTTTTGCCACCACCCTGAGTGGTTTTCCACTGGTTTGCCACCACCGTGAGCGGTATTCCACTGTTTTGCCACCACCCTGAGTGGTTTTCCACTGGTTTGCCACCACCGTGAGCGGTATTCCACTGTTTTGCCACCACCCTGAGTGGTTTTCCACTGGTTTGCCACCACCGTGAGCGGTATTCCACTGTTTTGCCACCACCCTGAGTGGTTTTCCACTGGTTTGCCACCACCGTGAGCGGTATTCCACTGTTTTGCCACCACCCTGAGTGGTTTTCCACTGGTTTGCCACCACCGTGAGCGGTATTCCACTGTTTTGCCACCACCCTGAGTGGTTTTCCACTGGTTTGCCACCACCGTGAGCGGTATTCCACTGTTTTGCCACCACCCTGAGTGGTTTTCCACTGGTTTGCCACCACCGTGAGCGGTATTCCACTGTTTTGCCACCACCCTGAGTGGTTTTCCACTGGTTTGCCACCACCGTGAGCGGTATTCCACTGTTTTGCCACCACCCTGAGTGGTTTTCCACTGGTTTGCCACCACCGTGAGCGGTATTCCACTGTTTTGCCACCACCCTGAGTGGTTTTCCACTGGTTTGCCACCACCGTGAGCGGTATTCCACTGTTTTGCCACCACCCTGAGTGGTTTTCCACTGGTTTGCCACCACCGTGAGCGGTATTCCACTGTTTTGCCACCACCCTGAGTGGTTTTCCACTGGTTTGCCACCACCGTGAGCGGTATTCCACTGTTTTGCCACCACCCTGAGTGGTTTTCCACTGATTGGGCACCACCCTGAGAGGTATTCCACTGGTTTGCCAGCACCCCGAGTGGTGTTCCACTCGTTTGCCACCACTTTGGGTGGCTGGCGTCCAGCTGAGGGTGGCTGGCGTCCGTTCTCTCTCCTTATATTGAGGCATTCAGCAGGTATTCGTTCACAGCCCACCTGTGCGGACGCAGCCGCGTGTAGAGGCGTGCCTCTGAGCTCCCCCAACGGGGCCTGGTCGAACCACAGGGGCGAGTGAAAGACCTGCCGTGTCATGTGACCCTGTTACCCCTGTTATTGCTGGTCTCACTGTTAGCCTACCTGTGCGGATGCAGCCGCGTGCAGAGGTGTGCCTGTGAGCTCCTCCAGCGTGGCCTGGTCGAACCACAGGGGCGAGTCAAATGACTGCGGAAGACAGGCGAGGTACCTGCAGGCAGGTAGATGTGAGGGAAGAGAAGTGTGGGGGAGAGGGGAGGGAGAGGAGAAGTTTGGGGGGAAATTGTGGGGTGTGAGTGTGAGTCAAGGGGAGTGCCTCTGGGCTCGTGCAATGCCATGTGGCCTGGTCGAACCACAGAGGCGAGTCGAAGGACTGTGGTAGATAGATAGGCGAGGGGTTGCAGGAAGGGTGCTCGGGGCCTGAGAAGGTCTAAATTGACCTGAGATCATGCAGCGATCCAGCAGGCCTTGGGATTGCAGCAGCACTAGAAGAATCACCGAAAGGTGTCTGAGTTGTATTGAACGACTTACGGAGCCCAGAAGGAGCGGTCTTTCTGGTGGCATCGGTGCAGCAGGAGGAGGAGGATGACGAGCATGCGGTGATCCAGCAGGCCTTGGGCGTGCAGGCGGCGGAGGGTGGATCCGTAGAGGGGGTCTTGAAGGGCAGTGGGCGCGGAGAGGAGGAGAGAGAGGGGCACTGAGAGAAGCAGGGTGTCTGTCGTTGTGTGGGGATGAAGAGAGAGGGGAGGAAAAGGAGTTTGCGAGAGTGAATTCGGGGAAGGCCTGGATCCGGGGGAGAATGTAATGGCAGAAGCAGGAGATCGAATTGAAGCCTCCAACAATCCTGAGTATAGGACCAAGGGGAGCGAAGGCTAGAAAATGTGTAGAGTTGACAAGGATTTGAGTCCTGATTCGGTGATTGTAGAGAGCCTAGACTCGTCTTATGTGGTCAACATGAAAGAATTTCACACGAACCTCCATCGACGGTGCATTTTCGCTCATCCCTATCCAATCTGGATAGGAAAACGCCAAATCCGGCACTGGAGGGGGCATGATCACCCGTCCGAGCCCCCCGTTCTGCAGCTTCCCCCTCCGTGGTAGCGGAATCGCCAGTCGTGGCGTCACTCGAGTATGCTTGCGAGTCTTCTCCCACGATAGCTGATCGATCACTGGCCCTGACGTCTCCTACTCGTGAATCAGTCGTCACGAGGTTGGATTCTGATGACATGGAGGGGACTGACGCGACGGATGGCGAAGTTTTTGCAAGGCATTGGCGAATTTCGCAGCCGTATATGCGAGCACCGTGATCCTGAAAAGGAAAAGAACGGGATTACTGCCAGGGAGATCAAGACCCGCCTGTCGCGTCGGACGACGTCAGGCATAGATGCTGAAAGGACTGGCGATCGACGCAATGTGGAAAGCTCACCTCAAGCCATGTTACGAGAGCTGACGGCATGGCGGGAAACGCAACGTTGAAATACGAGACTGGGTTGAGTTCAGTCAAGGTAGTGAAGCCATGTCCATGGCAATGGTGGGACCTGCACATCCTAAAAATTCAGGCAGAGCTCAAATCCCTTGTCCTCGACATTGGCACCAAAATGCTGACTCGGTATTGGCTTGAGCTTTTATGTTTCTATATTTGTCACATAAGAAACAGTGTCACATCAGAAGAAGCCCACCCCCAACACCGAGATAATTGCTGGCGTCCACTCAGTGATGACCAAGTCAGCTCCCACGTCCTTCGGGTTCCGCACAAATCTATCGAATCACAGCGCTCAAACTTCCCAGCTTGCCGCCGCATACGTGGAGACGAAAAAGCGGCATGTGTCCAGCAAAAGGGGCATTGGAGCACCAAAAGCAGCATCACACGTCAGCGAAATGTAACTCATGTTTGGATCACCTGCACCAATACCATTGAACACTCACGCAATTCCTTAGGTGATCGGGTCGCCTCTATCGCACATCTCATTGCTCAACCTTCTGGTAACAGAAGTTGTAAGGTTGTGTAACACTCAACGTCAGCCGTCCGATGTGCCTGTCTGCACAGAGAACCCGTTGGAATGTCCGATGAAATGCAAGCATCCGAAGGAAGCAGAGTGACGAAAATCTGAGTGACAGACAGCACTGCAGCTCTCCTGACAGTAGCAGGCTTGTATATTTCACGCAACGTGACATAATTCTTCTTATTCCCACTTGTCCCTTCCGTTAGCCTCCTTGTTCATCCACTTTTTTTCCGCTAGCAGAGAACCACTCGATCGTCACAATGGCGACCGCGATCTCCCTCTCTGCACGCGTTCCTACCGTGCTGAAGGCATCTGAGAAGAGGACTGTTGCCGAAGCCAGCAATGTGACTGAGCTGGTAAGCGCGACCTAGATCGCTTCAGATTATTCATCAAGTACAAGCTCCGATTGTCTTTCAAACCACATTCTCTCCCTCTCGCGCGCGATTCATTTCTCCGACTGACATCAAACACTATTCTGATCTTTCTCTCTTTCTCGCTCAGGCCTTTTCTCGATCCTTCCGCGTCAACAGCAGTCCCAAGGTCTCATGCAAACCCGTGAAGGGAACGAAGGCTTCGAGATGCGTAGCAACCAGGGCTGCTATTGCGACCGAGAAGCCTCCCACTGATTCTGGTGAGTCATTTGAAGGATCGGGGTGGAGTAAACCCGTTCCACCATGTCTCGAGACACCCACTGACGGTTTCACATGTCTATTGTGACAGCTTCCAAGGGGAAGAGCAAGATCCGCATCGGAATCAATGGTACGTCGTTTAATATCGGACTGCAAGTCTGGGCTAAGTGTCGCCTCCGTTCCTTCTGTTGTCTTCCTTCAAGGCTGTATGCTAACATCTTCTCGTACTGTTTGTTCAGGTTTCGGTCGCATCGGTCGTCTTGTTCTCCGCGTTGCTCTGGACAGGCCTGATGTGGAGGTCGTTGGCATCAACGACCCCTTCATCGACACTGACTACATGGTATTTGCAAATGAAGATTACATAGCTTCCTGTCATGATCACTATCGATCGTTGACTGTCACATTTACGTTACCTTTTGTCGCAATCCGCTCAGCATTATATCGTACTGACTCGTTCCTTGTAACGATTGCTCTTGTTCAGGCTTACATGTTCCGCTACGATAGCTCACACGGCACTTACCCCGGCGATGTTCACGCTGAGAGCGCCACCGCCATCAACATAGACGGCCAAAGCATTGCTGTTTTCGGAAAGAGGTAGGTTCGAGGTTTCAATAATGGAAAGTATACTCGAATTCAGGAAACGAGTCGGCAGCACGGCTAACGACTATGATCTCTCTCTGGCCCGTCCCCGCAGGGACCCAGCTGAGATTCCTTGGGGTGAAGCTGGTGTCGACTTCGTGGTGGAGTCCACTGGTACGGATTTCGGATTTCAAACTCTGCGCAGCAGCTCTTCCAAGTGTTCTGGCAAGATACAGTACAAAAAGTAATGCAACATTGCTATTGTGCATGCATGCAGGTGTTTTTACCACTGTCGCCAAGGCCGAGGCCCATATCAAGGCTGGAGCGAAGAAGGTGGTGATCACTGCTCCTTCAGCAGACGCTCCCATGTTCGTGATGGGAGTGAACGACGAGAAGTACCTCCCTACCATGAACGTTGTTTCCAACGCCAGTTGCACCACCAACTGCCTGGCTCCTCTCGCCAAGGTAAGGAAGTAATGTTTTCATCTTTCGATCTAATCATGTCTAGAAATATTGAAGCCTTACCAAGAGTATACGGTGTCTAATGCGGTGCTTGTTTCGGCTTGATGCGGAACAGGTGGTTCACGAAGAGTTTGGCATTCTCGAGGGCCTCATGACCACTGTTCACGCTGTCACAGGTCGGTATCCAGGTTGAAACGATCTCTGTTTCCTTTTTCTTTAAAAGGGATTTTTTCCAACTTACATTCGCTTTTTGTACTTGTGCTGCAGCGACTCAGAAGGCTGTTGATGCGCCATCAGCTAAGGACTGGCGTGGTGGGCGTGGAGCCGCACAGAACATCATCCCCAGTGGCACTGGTGCTGCCAAGGTAAGAAGGATGCCTCAGCTTGATGATTGCATTAAGTGTATGCATGCTGGAGGCCTCCAAACACGTACATATTTCGATCATAAGCGTATAGTGAAAGATTTAGAATGCATTGGCGGGATGCAGCGGTTCAACTGATCTAGTAACGTGTTAATGCAGGCGGTGGGCAAGGTGCTTCCTGCCCTGAACGGCAAGCTGACTGGCATGGCCTTCCGTGTGCCCACCCCTGACGTGTCTGTCGTTGACCTCACTGTTCGCCTGGAGAAGGGAGCCAGCTACGACGAGATCAAGGCTGCCATCAAGTACGCTGAGCTTCCTGAGAGTGTTAAATCCCTTACTACGCTTCTTGGTTAAAGGACATTGGTTTGACATGTGTCGTCCTTGTGTACTGTTCGTGCAGGGCTGCATCTGAGGGCTCCCTGAGGGGTTATTTGGGTTACACAGAAGATGACGTTGTCTCCACTGACTTTTTGGGTGATCCCAGGTATGAGCATGATCTCCTTGGAAGGCCATTTATGTTTCGACCCTTCAAATGTCAAGCTTTGCATCTGATGATTCCTTCTGAGCCTTGGCAGATCGAGCATTTTCGATGCTAAGGCAGGAATTGCCCTCACGCCTAACTTTGTCAAGCTGGTGTCGTGGTACGACAACGAGTGGGGCTATAGGTAATGGCATAAAAATTCCCTTTCTGTTCATTGTACTATGTTTGAAGGGCATCAGCTAACCATCACGCTTTGTTGACATTGCAGCAACCGAGTCATTGACCTCGTGGAGCACATGGTGGCGGTTGCAGTTGCCGATGGCGGCAACTAAAGCATATACATAGCTTGTCATTTCCCTCATTGCTAATGGAAAATGTTTTGCAGATTGTGTTGAAGAGCCTTGTTCACTATAAAATCACAAAACCAGGGCTAGAGTCTCACAAAAGAACAATCATCAGATGCAAGAAGCGTGCATCATTATACCGAAGACTATTACGAGACCCGCGAAATATCACAGGCAAAGTGAACGAGGAGCAGAATTCAAAGAAGGGGCGAAGCGCACGGCTACTACTGATGTGGCATCCATGAATTCTGACGACCAGAAAACACCTCTGCCAGAGAAAATGGAAGCAAAGAGGATCTGCTAATGAAATCTCGCCACGAAATCATGTCCTTCGTTGATTGGCTTTTGGATTGCCACGTGGTACATGTGTGAAGGTAAGCACTAATTTTCAAGCTCTGTACCTCTTCCAGTTTCGGTCACCCCGTATAACCTGCCATTTTCTGATGTCAGGTCAGGAAGCTACGAATCCCTGCTCGATCACCTATTGAGAGGAGTGGCCAGTACAAACGCGGAAATTGTCATCCTCCACATTCGTAAATTGGATCTACAGTTGTAACCTCCAAATTTGGAGCTGGGGCAAGGGCCAGCGGTCGGTCAGCCTTCCGAATTCCAACCCTCAAATTCAGAAACGACCCTAATTCCTGGCTAGGGCTCTTCTTCCCCCTTATCAATTCCCAATTCGCTTATTGGGCTGCAGCAAAAGCCGCTTTACTGACCACATTTTGCCCCGCAGGCTTGGGTCACAACTGCTGCAGCTGGGATTCCAAAATACTGTCCGCCAAGCTCTAGAAGCCTTCTCGAGTTCAGTCGTGCATCCCGTCCACCACATTGTACTAGAGAGCTGCCAAGAAGATCCCAATTTAGATTCCGCACAGAGGCATACGAGGTTGTAGGCTACGACTAACACATCTCACGTTTCACGAACCTGTGCGCATCCAGTGCTTTCCCGAAGACTTCTGAATTCCCGCTGGCCAGACCTAAAACTCCTTTATTTGAACGCTGCTGTGGGCAATCTTCGCAGTCCTGTCGCCATCAGTGAACTTCCACAATCTGATGTCGCCTGTGCATGCCCGCTCCTCGTTGTACGCTCCAACAGCAGCTCCACTATCCCCGCACATGCAACCCCGCAACAGTAACTTTCCCCATCAACGGTGCTGTAGACTCTCCACCGTCTCAACATCCGCTGCTCTTCCTCGTTTTCCTCCAATCCCTACTACCCGCCCATCCTTGATTTCATGGACCACCGAAAGCCCGGCCAGCTCGCCTTCCTCGGGCAGCAGAAAGGCGCAGCAGGTCCGATTTTCCCTCAACGGTGCGTCTGTTTGCAGCGGCAGCGGATTTTCCCGGGGCACGGTAGGCGCTGGTTCCGGCGCCTGTTGCGGTAACAGCAGCCGGCTTCGCACCTCCGCTATTTTCCGCGTGTCTTCTTCCGCGCAGGCCTTATCCCCGCTATCTTCACCCGCTAGTGGGGGATTTCTAACGGCGGGAAATAATGGTGGCGGGGGGGGTAGTCCTGCGCACACGCAGCGCAGCCAGAGAACGGGAAATGGGAGGACGGGAGTCTCGCAAGGAGGCGCTGGGGCTCCCAACAGGGCTTTTATTAGAGGCATGGGGGTAGGACCGGGGCTCAGGAGAGCAGGAGGAAGCGGAGTTGGAAGACGCGGAGGGGCGAGAGAAGTTGGTGGGAGAAGACGAGTGGTGGTGCAAGCTGTGGGGCCTGAGGTAGCCTCGAATGCGGTTGACGTGATTGGATCGCTGGGCCTCGATACACTCACGTTTCTCGTGGCCACCGTTATTGTCATTCCCGCCTTCAAGAGCCTCAAGATAAGCCCGGTGAGGCCGGAGGGGGAACCCCACTGCATTCCTCCACCACCCCCTTCTTGGGCAGACTGGAAACTGAACAGCCTATTTTTGAGGCGCCTCAAAAATAGACTTTATGAAGCTTGAGAACTCACTTTAGTCGATTCGTATCAATGGTGACCTCTTTCGCGTACATTCCCGCTTCTCTGTCGAGTATCCTCATCGGTTTCGAGCCCTGGCGCATTGCAGATTCTCGGATTTCTTCTATCGGGGGTTGCTCTTAACGAGTTGGGGCTCATTCGGAACATCACCGACGTGAAGGCGCTGAGCGAGCTCGGGATCCTCTTCCTGGTGAGTGCGCATGGCGCCACAGCCACAGCTGCTAAACCGAACGAAAACTCGGACACTAAGGCGAAGCGATGGAGAGAATAACCAAAACAATACTCCTGCCGCAATCGCCACTGTATGACGCACTTGCTCGCTATGTAGCAGCACAACTGGGACTTTGTCGACACCTGTTGCTCCCCCCCCTCCCACTTTCCACGTTCTCCGTCGTTCCTCATTCCCCCCATCATTCCCCTCCTTCCCCCACTACCCTTTACCACCCCCAACCGCTCCTGCCCTCCTCACACTCAGCTGTTTGAAATGGGCCTGGAGCTCTCCCTCGAGCGTCTCAGAGCACTCGCCAAGTTCGCATTCGGCATGGGCCTTCCCCAGGTACCACCTGCTCCCGACATCCCGCTCCCCAAGTACCTCCTTCCTTCTTACCCCTTCCCCCGGTTACCTCTTGCCACTTTCAGTTGTCACATTGCCCAGGACCGCCCATAGGCTCCGCGTGCGTCTCCTCTCCCGACTTGTCACTTCTGTCGCTTTCCACCACCTAATTTCCCAGTTTCACGCGGTGCCATCTGTCTGTACCCAGTATATCAAGCCCCTCTTAGTTTTGAGGCGCCTCAAAACTAGACTCCTATCACGCGGTGCCATCTGTCTGTACCCAGTATATCAAGCCCCTCTTAGTTTTGAGGCGCCTCAAAACTAGACTCCTATCACGCGGTGCCATCTGTCTGTACCCAGTATATCAAGCCCCTCTTAGTTTTGAGGCGCCTCAAAACTAGACTCCTTTCACGCGGTGCCATCTGTCTGAACCCAGTATATCAAGCCCCTCTTAGGACAGGTACAGAGAATGCCAATCGCTCCCCCTTCCTCCCTGCATACTTTCCGCACTGCAGGTTCTCCTGACAACCCTGGCCTTCACATTATTTGAGCTGCCCATAGACAATGCCATTGGCACCCGCGCGCTCGAGTTCCTCTTTGGGGCCAAAGCCGACCTGGTAGGTGCTTTGATAACCTAGGCGCCTCAACACACAACTGAAGTCAGGATTGGGTAGGATATACGCACAAAAGGTTGCATCCATGGTTAAGAACAGTTCTCCTGGCAAAACTCTCTTGAAGCCACTGCGCATGCGTGCCCCATTCAATGCTCATGGCTGGTCCTCCCCCCCACACCCCATCACAGGTGAACATCCGGTCGTTGGATGAAGCTGTTGTCATAGGAGCTGCTCTTGCGCTCTCCTCCTCCGCCTTCGTGCTTCAGGTGGGCGTTCCTTCTCCCCAGGGCCCGGCTGAGTCGGTAGTGTTCGACCGGCATCCAGTCCATATCCGGTCAAGTATCCAGTCACATTTGCTCGAAGTCCTAATCCTAGAAACATGGTACATATCAAATGTGAGGCATCTTATCAGCAATCAGCGACAACACAACTCATCACATCCTCTTCTTCTCCGCACTCCTTTGCACGCTTTTCTCCCCCCTTCTCTTCCCCCCCCTCCCCCTCTCCCTCGCTTCCCCCCACCCACCCTCGTGCCCCCTCCTTTCCTCCCCGTCCCCCCTCCAATTGCATCATCCAGCTGTTGTCTGAGAAGGGTGAGCTGGCCACTCGCTTTGGGTCGGCGACTCTCGGCATCTTGCTGCTGCAGGACATCGCAGTCGTCCCGCTGCTCGTCATCCTGCCCATCCTGGAAACCGGGGTAAGCAGCACCAGCAAAGACATGCCAACTTTTCTCACGTCCCAGCTCTAATAGCAGTATGACACCTGAGCGCAGCGGAACCTCATGATGCTGCACGCTGACCTGGCATGGGGACATATGACGTGCTACTACCACATTGACATCAGGTGCTGGTCCCAACCCCACGCCTTGGTCACTCACTCACCTACCGTCTAATCTATACTGCTCCCCACCCCACCCCCCCCCAGATCCCCCAATCTTCCTAGCCTTATCTGCCGACCAATCTCCGTTCTCTCCCCCTTCCACGCTCTCGGGGCTTCACCGACGATTCCGTCTTTCCTTTGTTAGCCATGGAGTGAGCCAAGTTTTTTGCTGGGGCTATATTCTTGGCACCTTAGCAAGTTGATTCCCATCTGCTTCTTGCTCCTCCCTATCGCTCCCAGGACTTCACCGACGATTCCGTCTTTCCGCTGCTCGCCATGGAGGGAGCCAAGTCGCTGCTGGGGCTCGGGGTGCTGCTTTACACAGGGCGGATTGCACTTAGACGGCTGTTTGAGGTGAGACCGCTGCCTGCTAGCATAAATGTCAAGTTGCTGCTGGGAATTGGGGGGGAAGGGGGGGGGAGACAGACATGGGGGGAAGGGAAGAGGAAGAAGGGAGGGGGGGGATTGGGAGGGGAGGAGGAAGATAGAGCTTACCCCCATCTTCTACGTCTTCCCTTCTTCTTGCACCTCTCCACTCCACCTATTGCCAACCCATTTCCTCCTCCGTCTATCGTCCTCTCCTCCTGTCTCCATGGACCCGCTTACTGGCAGTTCGTGGCAGAGTCTCGCAGCTCGGAGGCGTTTATCGCGCTCTGCCTGTTGACGGTCACGGGCACCGCGCTCATCACCAGCAAGCTTGGGTTCAGTGACTCGGTGAGAGACTACCCTGTCGAGACCCAGTGCCAGTATTCTAGATTTCCCCTTTTAGATTTTAGATTTCCCCTTTTAGATTTTAGATTTCCCCTTTTAGATTTTAGATTTCCCCTTTTAGATTTTAGATTTCCCCTTTTAGATTTTAGATTTCCCCTTTTAGATTTTAGATTTCCCCTTTTAGATTTTAGATTTCCCCCTTTTTAGACACTCGCATGTTACGACTCCCCTGCACGACCCACCCCCCCCCCAAACCCCCCACCCCCTGCCATGCATGCCTGTGCAGCTGGGAGCATTCCTGGCAGGGGCGCTGCTAGCAGAGACCAACTACCGCACCCAAGTGGAGGCAGACATCCGCCCCTTCAGAGGGCTGCTGCTGGGGCTGTTTTTTGTGACCACTGGCAGCTCCATCGACCTCAATGTGAGTGCGTGTGTGTAGATCTATCTATCTATTTATCAATGGTGAACCCTCATACAAGCACATCTGCTCAAGCACCTTCAGACGGCTGCTGCTGGTGCTCTTTGTCACCGGTGAGGGCGTGTGTGAACCTGTATAACCGTTAAGGCCACCGAACAAACTGTCTCTCCCGACTGGGCTCATTGCCACGAAGGCGACACTCATTCTTCTTTCTCACACTTTCTGTCCTTTCCTGTCTCCCCAACAGCTCCTAGCATCGGAGTGGCCCAACATCCTGGCTCTCCTGACCGGACTCATAACCATCAAGGCGGCTATCATCACAGCGCTGGGACCCAGAGTGGGGCTCACTCTGGCCGAGTCGGTTCGGACGGGTCTCCTGCTCTCCCAGGGGGGCGAGTTCGCCTTTGTTGTCTTCGCCCTAGCCAACCAGTGAGTCATAACCCTCAAACCCAAAGCCGCCTTAAACGGCACTTATCACAGCGGTGAGGCCGAAACTGGGGCTCACTCTAGCAGATGTCGTGTCCACTGCCCACCAGTAAGTTCCCCTTCTTTGTCCTCAACAACCCCTCCTCTTACCCCCATTCGACCCTCCCACCCTCCCTCCCCATCCCCCCATCTTGCTGCCCTTCCGACTGGGCGTGCTGCCTCTGGAGCTCACCCGGCTGCTCATCATAGCGGTGGTGCTCTCCATGGCTCTCACGAGCTTCTTGTGCTGCCTCTCTTCGCTCCCCTCCCCTCTTTCCCTCACCTCCCCTTGACCCACTAGGCTGGGCGTGCTGCCCCTGGAACTCAACCGCCTGCTCATCATAGTGGTGGTGCTCCCCATGGCGCTCACGCCCTCTCTCTCCCCCTCCCGTCCTCCCTCCCCCCCTTCCCCCTCTGCTCTCAAGACTTGGCGTCTTGCCGCTGGAGCTCAACCGCCTGCTCATCATAGTGGTGGTGCTCTCCATGGCGCTCACGCCGTTCCTCGACGCCCTGGGGCGCAGAGCAGCGGAGTACATTGAGGATAACATCGAAGCCAAGGCCTCCGCTGCTGCGGGCGCGGGTGGCCTGGGTGGTGGTGCGGCGGCAGCTGCTGCTAGGTTGGGTGCGGGTGGGAACGGGGCGATGGCTGGAGGGACATGTGGAGCTGACAGCAGCGGGGAAAGCCAATCCGTGAGTCCAGCTCTCTCTCTGCTACTGCTTTCGTACTTTGTGCTTCTCTCTTCGGCCAGTACCTGGCCCGTATGCCCCCCTCGCATGGTGCATGTGCGTCGCAGACTTTTCCCTGATCTCCAGCGTCCCGGCATTCATCTGCGTTGATTGTAGGCCACGTGTAGTTTGAGTCGACTCAAAATACATGTGCGTTGATTGTAGGCCACCCGTACTTGCTTGCTCCCCTAACTTCCACTCGACATCGTTTCACTTCTCCCTGCAAACACAACAGGAAATTGCATCTCCCTCTGCATACTTAGTAGCTGGGCCTGTAGTTATTCTGGGGCTCAACCCAATGGGTCAAGTGCTCACCTCCATCTGCACTCCACATCCAAAAACTATTCCCCGCTGTGTCAACAATGCAGGGCGGCTCTCACTCGAATCATTTCGCGGGGGCGGAGCCAATAGTCATTCTGGGGTTCAACCAGATGGGGCAGGTGCTGGCCAACTTCCTCTCCACGCCGCTTGCAGCCGGATCTGGGGGGGATGCGGCTGGCTGGCCCTTCATCTCCTTCGACCTCAACCCCAAGCGCGTGGGGGTAAGTGCTCATTTTCCTTTGTTGAATAAGGTGGGGCACGTGCTGGCCACCTTCCTCTCGATGCCGCTTGTTGCCGGGTGGGGTGAGGCTCTGTACTCACCCTCTCATAAGCCCATCACTTCAACTTATACCAAGTTTTGTCCGAAGCTAAATTCACCCTAAGCCTCACTCGCACCCGTCCCCATCCCCTAACAGCTGGGAGCATCGCTCGGTTTCCCCGTCCTGTATGGCGACGGCAGCCGCCCGGCAGTGCTGGAATCGGCCGGCATTCGCCGCCCAAAGGCCTTCATGGTCGTCTACTCCAGCCGCACCCGATCCGTGGCCTCTGTAGAGCGCCTCAAAGAGGCCTTCCCTGGGGTGAGTGCCTGTTTAGCAGCTTGACGGATTGTTGCCAAGGGTGTGTGGCGTGCTCTGACGCGCGTGTAGAGAGTTGTCTCTGAATCGTCTTCTCCAGCTGCACCTGATCCGTGGCCTCTGTAGAGCGCCTCAAAGAGGCCTTCCCTGGGGTGAGTGGTTATGGCGAGTCAAAATCTCCTCTGAGAAACTCCTCAAATTGTCTACTCCCTTCTCACTTGAGCCCTCAACTGTGACGGGCCGGCTGGTGCGGCCTTGATGAAGGCAGATAGCAGGAGAGACGTGCCGCCCCCGAAGTTGTTGCCGCACTCCACGTAACGCTGCCTGATGTAAACGATGGTGCGCCTGACTCAATTCTGAGTGCCGATGTGGACCTTTCTGAATCCCACCCCTCCACCCCATCTTCCCGCCGCTTTCTTCCTCGTTCTCTCTGTCTCGCCAGGTGCCGCTGTACGCGCGGGCCGTGGACGCAGTGCATCTGTCAGAGCTGAGGCGGGCCGGGGCCACTGATGTGGTGCTGGAGAGCGCTGAGGTGAGTCATGGGTGTGACCCTGCAGGACATGCGTGTGATGCGTGACCATGTGGTGTTTGTCCTGCTCCACCCTGTTCCCACCCCTAAACCCTCCTTGCCCCATCTCGGCTCCATGCTGCTGCAGGACATGGGTGTGACATGCAACGATGTGGTGTTTGTCCTGCTCCTCCCCTTACCTCTCCCTAAACCCTCCCTGTCCCTCACACTACCCTTAGTGCCCATGCAGACCGGTCTCCGCCACGGCTCCATGCTACCGCAGGCATGGGAGTGATGCGCGTTGCTGCTGTGTTTCACCTGCTCTTCCCTCCACCCTTCCCTCCCCATTCCGCCTGTTGCTCTAACTCCCTCACATGCAGACCGGTCTCCACCTCGGCTCCATGCTGCTCCAGGACATGGGAGCGATGCGTGACAATGTGGCGTTCTCAACTGTACCCGCCACCCTTGTTCGCTCCACCCGTCCCTCTCCTTCCCCTTTGATTGCAGGCCGGTCTCCGCCTCGGCTCCATGCTCCTGCAGGATATTGGGGTGATGCGGGACGATGTGGTGTTTGTGCTGCTCCTCTCTGTCCCTGTCCCTGTCACTGACGCCTCCCTGTCCCTCCCAACCCCCCTTGCACTGCCGCAGACCGGTCTCCGCCTCGGCTCCATGCTCCTGCAGGACATGGGGGTGATGCGGGACGATGTGGTGTTCGTGCGGCGCCTCATGCGGGATGCCATGGACCAGAGGGCGCTCTCCCCCTCCTCCCAGCCCTCCGATCTCCTCTCTCCCCGCCCTCTCCTCGACACTCTCAAGGTAAGCCTTCCCTGGTTAAGGAATTCCTTACCTTTCTACTCGTGGGCAATTCCTGCCTCCCCTGCTCCCAGCCCTCTGCCCTCCTCTCCCCCGCCCTTCTCCTCGACACTCTCAAGGTTAGCCTTGCCAGGTTCAACCTTGTTGTGCATGAGCTATTTCTTGTAGATCGAGCTTTCCTCGAGATGCCATAGCCCTGCTCAATCCTTACATCTCTCGTGCGTCGTCTCCCCATTGCCCCTCCACCAGGAGACGCTTGGCCGGCGAGCCATTCGGCCCATCGAGCCCACAGCAGCGTTCAGCAGCAGCGAGCAGCCCAGAGCAGCACCCAGCAGGGGGGGCAGCCTGCCCTTACTTCCGAAAGAAGAAGACGAATCCACTGCGACTCCCCGTGTTGCACCGGCTGCTTTTGCTGCTGGGACTGCTGAAGAATCCAGACCTGCTGCTGAGTCTTATCCTTCTGCTGCTGCTTCAACTGCTTCAGTTCCTGCTGCTGCTGCTGCTGATGGGGGCATGGGACGGCAAGAAAGGCTTTCCACAGCTGCTGCTGCCACCACCGCTGCTGCACCTGCCATGGCTGCTACAGCTGCAGCTGTTGCAACTGCGGCAACAGCTGCCACAACAGTGGGTGTGCTTGTAGCAAGCGAAGCAGGCAGGGCAGCAGAAGGAGCGGGAGGAGAGGGAGAGGAGGATTCACAAACAGAGAACCAAGTACAGACCCGTGTGAAGGCACGGAGCACAGAGATCCCCTCCCTCGACTCGCCCATGGATCTGGACTCTGTATCCCTGCTGCTTGCGGACGCGCAGGCTGCAACGGACACCATGCTCCAGTATTTCTCAGACGGGGAGGACTTTGTTGACCGGAAACTGGAGCTCGAGGCAAGCCAACAGAGCCAGCTAAGCCAGCAAGGTCAACAGAGTCAACAGAGCACTTCAAGCACAGTGGTGCCGTCGTTGGATTCACCTGGGGGGATGGAGGAGGGGTTTGATGGGGAAGGATGGCAATCGGGCATGGATCCCATGCTCGTGTACTTCTCGGATGGGGAGGACTTCGTCGATGTGAAGCTGGAGCTTCCACAGACCGGAAATTTCCCTCGAGACAAGTGATTAGTAGGTATGGCACACTGGTGATTATCATTTACTGTTTTAGTATCACTGTTTGTACCCTTGACTTTGACCACTGCAAGTGCACATATCTATTGACTACGGCTCTTACGGCACCCTATCAGACATGTGTCAGACAGTAGCGAGTGGTCCAGCGCAGTTCAGATACGACCACATTGGCAGCAGCTTCATTCATTCGTGAACCCTGCACCTCTTCAGTACCAACATCCAAGATTGCTGGCAGACAGTGAATGCATTTCACATTGCACCAAGCAGAGAAGAATACACCATTCTACAGCAACAGACCCCATGAGGACGCCCCAGCAAAATTGACAATCCTTTTCCAACAAAGCCTCTGGCTGGGCGCAATCCCCATGGAAAGGACCTTCATTCACATAACAGTGCAGCACATCTCTAAACGTCTTAACTCTGACTTCCAGTCAAGAGCTGTTGCATGTCGACGAAATGCCAGCTTCCTTCAGAGGGCAGCCAAGGTCGACAGCTCCTTAGAAGGTCCGGCCGACGGACCAGACGCGGATGTAACCGTCAGTGTAACCACCATAGAGGGTGGCACCATCCGCACTCCAGTTGAGGCTCACACAGTACGGCGTCTGCAGTTAGGGGAGCGAGGGAGAAGAGACAGGTTGAGGGGAGACGGGAAAGGGGGAGGGGGCGGGGGAAGACGGAGAAGGGGGGGGGAAGATGGAGAGGGGGGGGGGGAAGGGGGGAACGAGGAGAGGATGGGGGAGGGGCAGGGGGTGGGAGAGTGGGAGTTGGGAGGGCGATTGGACAAGTATTGCACCTAACCCCACCTGCCCATCACCAAACAGCCCCCATCAACCCCTCGATATAATCACTGGCTACTTCAACTCCACTCTTTTCTCGCCTACTACCACCTTCCACAGCCAATCCCCATGTCTCGCCTGGTCCCTTTCACCCGAGCCAGAGCCAGGGTGCCTGCGCGGCCTTCCACCGAATTCCGAACTCCCCCCTTTCAACTTCCCACAGGCAACCACACACACCGCTCTTCACACCTCACACCTTCCCATGAAGTCCTCCGTCCCTTCCACATCACCTCCGTTTCTCCCCCCAATCACCTGACCCTTCAAATCCGTGTTTCTCCCGAGACAAACCAGGCAAAGTCCGGCACGACCAGACCCCCACCCAATGAATCCAGTTGACCTCCTTCCTCCTTCCACTTTCCCTCGACTCCCCAGTTGCGCCCCTCGCTCGGCCCCTAAGCCGCCAGTTCTCTCACCTGCCCCTACAAGTCCGTTTGCTGCCGGGGCAAACCAGCTCAAGGTCCAACTCGAGAACCTTTCAAGGATTTTGCACTCCTTCACCTCTCAAAACCCCCAATCAACCCCTGTCAACCCCTGTCGTCAACCCCCGTCAACCCCCCCCCTCCCCCCCCGACCCTCTCACCTGGCCGTTGAAACTCCGTGCTAAAGGGGCGAACCAGCTCAAAGTCCGGCACGCGGGCCTTCAAGAGTTCCGCCGCCCTCAAGCTCCCCCTTCTGAAGCCCCCTGTCGATCCCTGTCAACCCCTGTTAACCCCTCTCTCCCCTCTCTCCCCTCTCACCTGGCCCTTGAACTCCGTGTTGCTGCCGGGGCGAACCAGCTCGAAGTCGGGCACAAGAGTATCGACCAGGCTCTTGCTCTCCAGGTCCCAGATCTTGATGGACGACTGGGTGGCGGCGCACAGCCAGTAGCGGTTGGGCGAGAAGCAGAGCGAGTGGATGATGTCGCCCGCGTCCAACGAGTACAGGCGCTTGCCCTCCGCCAGGTCCCACAGCATGGCCACGCCGTCCTTGCCGCCGGACGCGCACAGCGAGCCGTCGGGCGAGACGGTGACGGTGTTGACGTAGCCGGTGTGGCCGAGCAGGTTCTGGCGGAGCTTGCAGTTGGTGAGGTTCCACACCTTCACCACCTGGGAGGGGGGAAGGGGGAAGGGGGAAGGGGGAAGGCGGAAGGGGAGACGGTGACGGCGTTGACGTAGCCCGTGTGGCCGAGAAGGCTCTGGCGGAGAATGCAGTTGGTGAGGTTCCAAACCTCCTGAAGGAGGGGGAGAGAGAGGGGAAGGGAGGGGGGGAGGAAGTGAGGGCGGGGAGGGGCGTGTTAAAAAGGTGATGAGGGCTTGTGAGGACCTCCACCACAAGGGGGAGGGGGGGGGGAGAGGGGGAAGGGCGGGTTGGAATAAGTAGAGGAAGCGGGTTCACAAGGTGGTGAGAGAAGAGAGAATGCGGAGAGGGGGAAGGGTAAGGGGAGGGAATGCGGGAGGGGGAAGGGTAAGGGGAGGGAATGCGGGAGAGGGGAGAACGCAAGCGGGATGCAACGGCCATGCGACCTTAAAGGTGGTGAGATTCCACACCTTAACCACCCGGATGGCGGTCAAGGCTTTGCGCAGCAGCACAGGTTATGGAATGCGGCGGAGGGAGGAGGGGGGGGGGAGGCGAGAGGGATGAGGAGGAAAGGGACATATAGGTAAGCACGGGGGGGCGATCTTTGTGAGAGGACTACGGCACCTGTGATTCTTCGATCCGGCCTCAACCCGGCGGGAAGAAAACGTATTCCAACCTCAACTGCGACCGACCTGTGATTCTTCGAGCAAGTGTGCCTGACGCCAGCCGCCCAACGGCCCTTATCCTAGCCGCTCAGATGGCTAATCCCAGCCGCCCCAACTAACCTTATCCCAAGAACCCAACCGACCTTGTCCCAGCCGGCGGAGACGATGATTGGCTGCGTGTTGACGGGCGAGAAGCGCACGCACGACACCCACCCCTGGTGCGCGTCCGCGTCGTTCATCGTGTACTTGCACTCGCCCAGCGTGTTCCACAGCTTGATGCTGCGATCGCGCGACCCCGACACGATCTGGCGGTTGTCGACGCTGAACGCGACGCTGAGCACGTCCTTGGTGTGGCCCACGAAGCGGCGCGTGGTGGCGCCGGTGTTGAGGTCCCACAGGCGCAGCGTGCTGTCCCACGACCCGGAGAGCGCGAACTGACCGTCGGATGAGATCACGACATCCTGTTGTACGCGTTACAAGGAATGAGTGCGATGAGGGAGTAAGGAAAGCAAGCTGTATCAGAATGGCACGGTGAGTAAACGAGCCACTGGAAGGGAGTGCTGGAAAAAGCGGGACGGTAGTCATGGTTCATACGCTGAAGAGAATGGGATGAAGATAGCTTTTCTCGAAGTACTCTGCCGGTCATGGTACTCGCTCGAGAGGAGTGCGTAAATGTAAGCCACGACGAGCTACTACCCAGCCCGGCAATAACGCACACTACTCTTCAAAGACACAGTTACGACGAGCTACTTTCTAAAACACGCGCCGCTAGCCCAGATTTCTGGAATAAGCGCAGCGCACCGGCGCTCTAGAAATCTGACGATGGAGCGGAAATTGCACGGGTCAAGCTGGAAGACTGAGAATCTACCGTTAAGGGAATGAAGTTCTAGAATCTTCACCTGCACGAAACCGCCGTGGCCTGTGAGGCGGCGCTTGGGCACGCCGGCGAGCTGCACACCCGTGCTGGAGGCGGCGTCGCGGGAAAGCGACCACGACATGATACCCTTATCGCGGGAGCATGAGATGATGGAATCGCTGTTGTCGATCGGGCACGCGATCGACGTGACCCAATCGGAGTGGCCCTTGAGGTGCCCGCGGAAGCTCAGCTGCTCACCCATGGCGGCGTGATGTCTCGAGACGAGAGGGGAAGGAGAAAAGAAATAAAGGGCGAAAAGAGAATTAGGGTTTGAGGCAAGCGTGCTAAGAAGGGTGGGAGTAGGAGTCGCCGCAGAGGAAGAGAAAGAGGGTGTGTGACAGGGGGAGGGGAGAGAAAAAGAGGAAGGGGGGGCGGAAAACGAAGAGGGGGAAGCGCGGAAGGGGAAGGTCTGCGGAAACCAAGCGGAGCGGGAAAAGTGGGCTTCTCGCGGCCGCGCGGAGGTTCTGGGGGAACACCGCGGGAGGAAGAGGCCCTCAGTTAGCCAGAGCCCTGGAAGAGGGCGACTGATGCAGCGCGGCGGAGCCACGGCTGTGAGCCCCACCCAAGGGCATTATTCCAAATGGTGTAGTTTATCCGCGTTTCTAGCCACACAGGTATTATGGTAATAAAGTAATCAAAACCGTAAAACAGTGAAACAAAAATTTCCCAACTGTACTTGTCTACATTTGTTCGTTAAAATCATGCTTCATACAAGGCATGGGGACAAGCCGCCAAGCACCCCTCTCAGCTTCACTGGTTTGATATGGCACCATCCCTTTCTTTGTGGCTAAAAGCAGTGCTCTGCTGGTAACGGCAAGTAAACAAGGCGCGACTTACAGAGCCAGAGCACACCTTAGTCAAATCTTCCAGGCACACACGAGAATGCACAATTCCAACCAAACCCTATATATTGGCATCCAGCCATTGGGACCTCCATAAAGTGAACACTGGAGCATTGGCTACAAAGGCTTGCATTAAATTGCATAAAGGGACCGCATCGCATGGAACAAGCTATCCAGGCCACTCTATTGCCGCTTCCGCCAAGAACAAGCCCGGATCTAAAGCCTCTTTTCAAGCTGTGCCTCGAGCGTAACGGCGAGGGTGATCATTTCAAGCCTGCTCCTCTTCACAGGGGTGTACAGTACAGCTGCTCTTAAGCCTCCTCAACCACGTTGCCCTTCTCGCTCACGTAGATGCCGTCCAGAAACTTCCGGATGTCCTTGTTCTTCACGTGGCACACCTGGGAGCGGGAGAGGACGAGTAGGGGTGAGAGGACGAGTGGGGGTGAGAGGACGAGTGGGGGTGAGAGGACGAGTAGGGGTGAGAGGACGAGTAGGGGTGAGAGGACGAGTGGGGGTGAGAGGACGAGTGGGGGTGAGAGGACGAAAACACAGTTGAATTTGACGCGTCAAAGCGAAACTTCCGGATGTCCTTGTTCTTCACGTGGCACACCTGCGGGAGGGGGAGGAGGGGAGTGATGGCAAGAGAAAGGAAATAAAGCACACATCCGGATGAATTTGTTATTGACGTGGCAGTGGATTCGAAGTCTTTTCCAGTAACAGCACTCAGGTGTCCTTGGTCACTCACATGTCACTCACATGTCACTCACATGTCACTCACATGTCACTCACATGTCACTCACATGTCACGCAGACCTTGTTCCTCCCACACCGTGGCTAACAGGCAGTCCAATTTGCCGGACTCTGTGGCAAGGCGAAGCGCTGATACACATGATGGGGACTCGGTGACCTCAGAGGTCAACGTTGGCTAGGGGCAACGCAAACAACCGAATATCGCCGTGCATTCTGAAAGATATAGGCTATTTTGACCAATGGGGTGGTCGGTGAAATCGACGTTGGTGCAACTGCTGATAGGGAGGAGAGACAAAAGGCACGACTCGGTCACTCCACACGACAACAAACGGCGCTGGGGGAAAGAGGGTGGAAGTTGATAACGCGCCGTGGAATCACGAGGAGCTTATTCTGGCAGAGCTAAAGACGGTGTGTGAGGTTCGTGAGGGCTTATCCAGTCAACCCCGGTCAACGCCGGTCAACGCCGGTCAACGCCAGTCATAAGTGGTTGATAAGAGCGGCGGAGCGCGAGACGAGCTCAATGTCCTTGCCTTGGAGCGCGAGGTCGTCCTGGTCTCAGCTGACGAGCTCGACAACAAGGGGCCTTTGAGGTTCACGAGGGGCTTACCCGGTCACCTACACCCTCACCTCATTGGTGAGAGATCAAGGATTCACCTGATTGGTGAGAGATCAAGGACTCACCTGATTGGTGAGAGATCAAGGACTCACCTGATTGGTGAGAGATCAAGGACTCACCTGATTGGTGAGAGATCAAGGACTCACCTGATTGGTGAGAGATCAAGGACTCACCTGATTGATGAGAGATCAAGGACTCACCTGATTCGTGAGAGATGGAGGACTGACCTGGTTGATGAGAGCGGCGGAGCGCGAGACGAGCTCGATGTCGTTGCCCTCGAGGACGAGCTCGTCCTTCACCTTCTCGGACCGCGTGATCGTCACTCCTTCAAGCATCGCCACCTTGCGCACCTGGCGTATGGGGGCGCGGGGGCAAGAGAGGGCGAAACATAGGAAGAAAGATCGGGGAACCGATGAGTCCTCCTTCTCCGACAGCGTAATCGTGACGCCCTCGAGCATCGCCGCCTTGCGCACCTGGCGCATGAGGAAGGGCGAGGGGGGAGGGGGGAAGGAGAGGGCGAACGGATTCAAACAGCCCTCGCGAAACCCTAATTCTTGTGGGACCTTCACCTTCTCAAGAAGAGACTCATCTGGGATCGGAAACTGTGAATGAACAGGGCTGAGGAATGATGAGCAGCAGCCTGCAAGTAACGGGGTTTCGGCCCCACGGAGCCGTCAAAACTGGTGGTAGAAAGGAGCCACACGGCTGTCGTGCGAGCGCACCGATGGAGGGGCTAACAACCGTTCCGGCCTCCCCGAAACGCACTATAAACGCCTCAGCTGCTGATCCTTCCCGCGGATTACCGTCCCCTCGCCTGACAGACTTGACCTACGTGCCCTGATGCACCTTCAGTGCCTCCGCTCCCCCATGCCAGACCGTTCGGCCCCTACTCTACCCTACCCTGCCGTCGGGCCACCACATTCAGGCCTCTCCCGCATTCGTTCCCTAACCGTGGCGCTAGATTTGGGTGTATCTTCGTCCGCTATATCGAGGCACTCTATCGCCTGGCGTCGTTTCGATGCATCCGCGCGCCCCTTCGCTGGCCACCGTTCCAAACGGCCTCGTGACCGCTTTTGCCGCGGCTCAGCAGACCCGACCTTGCGACCTAGCCCTAGCCAGCCAGCCACGAGGCCCACGCCGGCAATCGCCGTCGAAACGAAGGGAGATCAGAAATCGCCTTTTTAGGATTCTAGAGAAGAAGATCGCTTCTACAGCAATGCTTGGAATGGCTACGCTGCTGGTCCAGAATGCTATGCTCAGAATGCCTTGGACCGTACTTCCAACATCGCCTCAGCTGCATGGTGCGCGTGCGCCGGATCTAGGCGACAATCCGAAACCTCCCCCCGTTCTACCTATGGTGACGGGAGGACGACCGTTGAGGAGATAATCCCTCTGCGCCGCCGAGATGACGGGAACGAACACGACACGAAGCCCTGATTGGTCAGCATGTGGTCACTACGGACAAGCGCGAGGCCTGTTTAGAGAGGAACCCGCGGCTAGCGACGCGGCAGCACCCCCTCACGAGTTCCCTGACCTGCTCTGATTCGATCTAGGCCTTTCGAACCGAGCTGACCGGCAGAAATTACCGTTGGGCGAGAGGCCTAGGTCAATAAGGCCTAGGTCAATAAGGCCTAGGTCTTTCACTGGGGGAGCGGGAAGGAGTGAGTTGACGTCTAAGGAGCGGAAGAGCACAAGTCATGGCAGCAGCGGAATTCCTTCTGTGAAGGCCCTCTGCAGGCTGCGCATGGGAAGGTGCGGGGGGGGAAATTCGGGCGACGCGAGGGGCAGAGAGGAAGGGAAGGACGGCGGGAGAGGGAGGGGGGGAGAAGGGGCGGGAGCAGACGATGCGCTGCCAATGGAGTGGGACGTCCCCTCGTGGGCCATTCCGCCGGAGTTCGAAATTCACTTTAGAGACGTCTCAAAACTATTTTAGTAGGCCGCTTCGCCAGAGTTCCTGTCCCCGCGGATTGCGCGTCGCTCGCTGCTGATCCTATCTCCCCGGCGCCTAAGAACCGCCCGCAGCTCACTTTCTTCTCGCGCCCCATCTCCCCCTCCCGGCGCAACACCTTCCGCCCGAAGAAGCTTCGGAATTCGATGCAGTCAGCCGTACCGCTTATGCTACCCCTACCCCGCCTTTCCACTCCTCCCTCCCTCCCTCCCTCCCTTTCCCCTTCTCCCTCCCGCCCTGCCCCCCCCCCCCGCCCTGCCCCCCTCCCCACTCCCCACTCCCCCCCCCCCCCCCGCACCTTCTTCTCGCCGAGGAAGTTTCGGATCTCGATGGCGTCGGCGGAGCCGCTGATGCTGGAGTTGATGGGGAAATGCGCGTACACGAGGCGCATCTTGTACTTAAAGCCCACCGTCACGCCCTTGATCAGGTTCTGCACGTGGCTGATGGCCGTTCTAATCGACGCCATGGTCTTGCGCGTGCCGAACCACGCGTCGACCTTAAGCTTTGTCCCATCCTCGATAATCTGGAAGTCGAGGTTCAGGTGGCGGAAATCCCGGAAAAGCTTGCCACGTGGCCCCGTCACGCGGACCTTCTTGGCTTTAATCTCCAGCTTCACTTCCTTGGGAATGTCCATCGTCTCGGACGCTAGGATCGTCTTCATGCTGACGTAAGCCCTGAGGGCGGTCCGAGACTAAGTGGGGAGTTAGCGGAGGGGGAGAGGGAAAAGGAGCAGACCTGGGAAAAGGGAAGGGTAATGAGCAGCGAGGGGCTTTCACGCGTCGAGTGGAGTGCAGGCAGGCGGGCGGAGGGCGCAAGGCGGAAAACGGTGAAGTGTTTTGCTCTGGAGCACCAGGTCGAGTGTGTGTGAGCGCGGGCAGAGCGGAACGGCCGGGGGAGGGGCGGAAGGTTGAACACAGGCGGAACGCGCGAGTGCTGGTGTCGGCTTCCTGAGTGGGCTGGTGGTAAGCCACGACGTACGCCCTACGGAAAGAAACCTGTTATTGCAAAGCAGCTCAAGAATAATCAACTAAAATCACACTTTAAAACCTGTTGTTCAACTGTGTACCTTGTTAAAACCTGTTGTTCAACTGTTCAACTGTGTATCTCTAGATTTCAAGAATCTTGTGAAGCCACTGATGATGATGGCATTGGGTTTCGCCCATGTAAGCGATTTTCAATCCCAACGAAATTAGCAAGATATATCTGTACGACTTAATAAATGTAAAGCATCCTCCCTCCCACACCATCTCAGCTTCCATTCGTCCGTTGTGGCACTACTGTGGTTATGGGTCTATTCTGTGTCGCACTAAAGGGTCTACTTATCGCAACAATCGCCCTACCTAAATGCGTTTCAGGAAGTTGTCCAAATTGTATTCCTCTGCATACTGCGATTCGTCCCAGAGATCCTCCAAGCCTGTGAGCACTGCCTTGAGCCCCTTCCCTCCCCCAGCTGCTGCCACAGCTGCATCTGAGGATGCATCTGCTGATCGCTGCGGGGCCAAGAACAGGGTCACAGAAAAGGCAAGGTGAGCACGGGATATATAGTAGCACACAACTCACCGGGTATTGAGAGGCCAGCAAAGAGCAGAAAGACCAGCAACGAGCACAAGGCCAAAGCACTTATGACGACCACACACCGAGACTTACACAATGTGCGCAACCACCAAGACAAATGACACGAAAGCCTACCCCACTGCCACCGAACACGTCTCACCTTGGCAGCAGCGCCAGCAGCGGGAGGCCCGGCATTGAAGAGGTCGAGGAGCTGCGAGGTGTCCATGGACTTGAGGCTGGCGTTGTCGGCGTTGACGACGGCATTGGCGATGGAGAGCTTGAAGCGCTGCAGCCCCATCACCTTCTCCTCCAGCGTGCCCGCCATGATCACCCGGTGCACATTCACAGTCCGGCGCTGCCCCAGGCGATGCGCTCGATCCATGGCCTGGAGGGGAGTGCGGAGGTCAGGGCGGGAGGGGGCAATGCAATCTCGCCTTCAAGCGCTGCAGCACAGCTTCTCCTTCTTCTCCATCTTGCCTGCCACGATCACCCGGTGCACGTTCACCGTCCGCCGCTGCCCCAGGCCATGCGCTCGACCCATGGCCTGGAGGGGACGGAGGAGAGGGGGAGGGGGGGAGAGGGGTTTGATGGGAGAGGAGAGGGGGAGGGGGGGAGAGGGGTTTGATGGGAGAGGAGAGGGGGAGGGGGGGAGAGGGGTTTGATGGGAGAGGAGAGGGGGAGGGGGGGAGAGGGGTTTGATGGGAGAGGAGAGGGGGAGAGGGGTTTGATGGGAGAGGAGGGGGCAATGGCATTGCCATGGAGCGCTGAAACCCCATGACCTTCCCTCTCACGATTGCGACCTTCCCTCTCACGATTGCGACCTTCCCTCTCACGCTTTCGACCTTCTCTCCGACGCTTGCGACCTTCCCTCTCACGCTTTCGACCTTCTCTCTCGCGCTTGCGACCTTCGCTCTCGCTCTTGCGACCTTCGCGAGAGGAACAACCATGTCATGTCATGCCTCTCGCGCCCGGGTCGATCCTCCAGGAGCTGAAGAGTGAGTGGCGCGCGTTTTACAGCAGCGAGACGGAGTTTTCCACCAATGACTGGCAAAGTCAAGGGACGCCTACGATAGTGGTGGCTATATCTATGCCACGTGAATCAATCCTCTCAGTGCCTCACAGATGAGGATGATATCATCACAGGGTGAGTTGATTCAACCGCTCACGTTTCAGTCGTGTTGTCCTGCGTGCACCACCAGAGTGCTCGTGCACCACAGGAGTGCTGGTGCGCCACAGCAGTGCCCATGCACCACGGCAGTGCCCGTGCACCACGGTAGTCCCAGCACCACACAAACGCGAATGCGAATGCGTATGCACACGTGAACACAAATGCATATGCGCATGCGAACAAGAACGCGAATGCGAATGCGAATGCGCATAAAATTACCTTAGTCAGATTCTTGACTTTCATGGTCATGCTTCACTGCTACACCATGGCCAACTAGCAGGCCTCGCATGGGGTTCCAGTCGTGCTCCAAGAACACGACTGTGTCCGCAGCTGTCAGGTCCGTAACAATCAAATTGTACCTTTATCAGAACCGTTCATGCAACACTGTTACGCCATGGCATACCTGCAGGTCTCGCATGGGGTTCCAGTCGTGCTCCAAGAACACGACTGTGTCCGCAGCTGTCAGGTCCGTAACCATCAAATTGTACCTTTATCAGAACCGTTCATGCAACACTGTTACGCCATGGCATACCTGCAGGTCTCGCATGGGGTTCCAGTCGTGCTCCAAGAACACGACTGTGTCCGCAGCTGTCAGGTCCGTAACCATCAAATTGTACCTTTATCAGAACCGTTCATGCAACACTGTTACGCCATGGCATACCTGCAGGTCTCGCATGGGGTTCCAGTCGTGCTCCAAGAACACCACTGTGTCCGCTGCTGTCAGGTTCAGCCCCAAACCGCCCACTGCAGGGGAGGAAGCAGAGAAGCCAACAGGAGAAGAAGAAAGACGTAAGTCAGGGGAGGATTGGGAGGAGAGCGAGAAGGGAGGAGAGAGGGGAAAAGAACCGCTGAAGGGGAGCACAAAAGTGGGCGCGGCTGAAGGGAGCGCAAGGGATGTTCTGTTCCTAGTGAAGGGTGCGAGGACTTGACATCAGATAGAGGGCTTCACCACTTGCAGTAATTGCACATGCCAACAATTGGGTCATTCGGTACAGATAGCGCATACCATGCGTGGTGAGCAGCAGCACATACCATGCGTGGTGAGCAGCAGCGCCTACCATGCGTGGTGAGCAGCAGCACGTCGATGGTAGGGTCGGAGTTGAACGCCTTGACCAGGTCAAAGCGCCGCGACGGCTCCACCGACCCATCGATGCGCAGATAGGACACACTGGGGGGGGTGGGGGGGGGGGGGTCATAAAGGGGGATAAATGGGAGGAGGAGGGAGAGAAGCGGGGAAGAGAAGAGCGGCAAAGGTCAATGCGGTGCTACGGCTCCACCGACCCGACTGTGCGCAGATAAAACACACTGGGTGGAGGGAAGGCGGAGAGGGGAGTTCAGGGTCCTGCACTGGGCAGGTCAGGACAAGGTCTCCCGTGCGCATGCATCAGTGTTAAGGCACGACACACTGGGAGACGATAGAGAAAGGGGGAGAAGCGGAGAAAGGGGGGAAGAAGGGGGAGAGGGGGGGGTGGAGGGAGAAAGGAGAAGCGAGACAAGAGCTGGCAGTGTGGCAGCCAAACACAAACACGATCAGAAGGTGGTCCTGGAGTTGGCTCGATAAGTTGGGGATGGTATGGATGGACTACTGACAACCATCAGTGGCCCATCCTTCTCTGACCAATCATGGCTCACCTGGGCATGTGCTTCTTGAAGAGGTCCTGCTCGACAATATCGAGGAATGACTGTACAGGGGATGGGGGCAAACAGGCGAGGGGGAAGGGCGGTTGGAATGACAAGGGAAGTGGAGGAAGACAAGAGAAGGAGTCAATGGGATGCAGGTGAGTCTCTCGCATTCTCAAAGCGTGAGGAGTCTATTTTTGAGGCGCCTCAAAAATAGACTCCTCATGCAGGTGGGTCTCTCGCATGCTCAAAGCGAGACATGGATCAGATGTTGCAGAGCTCACTAGCATTCACAGGGTCGAACACTAGTAACGAAAAAGGCGTTTAAAAAACATATCCCTCATTTCCGACTGCCCTCACTTCCCTCCTTTTAACACATAACACGGATACACACTAGTTACCCTCAGTGCCCTCACCTTAAGCTGGGCAAACACGAGCACGCGGTGATTACCCTCGCTGGCCTCACTCCCGACATCCCCTCCACTCCTCCCCTCCCCTCCCCCTCCTATCCCACACTCCAGCAGAATATCTCTCAGCGCGATCAGCTTAGGCGCATGCACTATATCATGCACATCCCCACTGCCATCCCCACTGCTGCCACCACCACCACCGCTGCTGCTCCCCCCTCCCTGCCCTGTAGCGCCCACGGCTGTAAGAGCAGCAGCGTGGCGGGGATGGGAGGGGTCCAGCACCAGCAGCGGATGGCTGCACAGCTTCCTTAGGTACTGGAGCGCTTGGAACACATGGGTTGATGCCTGCTCCCCTCCCCCTCCGGCTCCTGCCCCCTCTGCCGTTACTGCTGTTACCACCTCTTCTGACGCATGGGACTTTGCAAAGTCAGCGTACAGTAGGCGCTGCAGCGTGCTGAGCTGGCAGTATCTGTCGGTGATGATTTTGGGCGGCAGGTCTGACAGGACCTGCTCCTTGGTGCGGCGAAGAATGAACGGCATCACCTGGGAGAAGGGGGGCGGGGAAAGGGGAGGTTGGAAGGAACGGACATGAAGAGGGAAGCATCAAAGGACAGGACCCCTACATGGCTATACCCGCCTGCATATAAATTCTCCTGAAAACACGCGCTGCTCATCCTCACCCATCCTAAACTCCACTCACCCACCCCCACCTACCCCCCCCCAACAAACGGAGAAAGCAGCACAAGAGATGGGCAGACCTGGCGGTGAAGGGCCTCCATGGCGAGCGCGCCTGCCTCGGCCTGCTTGGCCGTGCACTTGGGGTCCCGTGCCGCCTGCAGCGGCTTGCCATACCGCGCCTGGAACTGGTGGGGTGAATCGGTTGAGTTGAGGAACACAGGGAAATGTGGATGACTCGGGGGAGGAAACGGAAGGGCGAAACAGCGGAAGATTTGTTAGAAAGGACCGAACACGACCTTCAATGCCTTACGAATCAGGTAGCCTAGGAGCCCAGCACCGACCAGCCCTACCTGCTTCTCTGTCCCCAGGAATCCCGGCATGAGGAAGTCAAAGAGCGCCCACAGCTCGAGCACGTTGTTCTGGATGGGCGTGCCCGTCAGCAGCAGCCGGTGCTCCGCCTTAATCCGCCGCACCGCCTGTGACAGCCGCGTCTTTGCGCCCTTGATCAGATGCCCCTCATCCAGCACACAGTACCGCCACGTCAGTGCTGCCAGCTCATCAATGTCGCTCCGTAACACCTCGTAAGATGTCACCACCAGGTTATGCCTTTTCAGCTGCCCGCGCAGTCTTTGCCGGTCAGCCGTGCTGCCCGCGTACTGCAGTGGGTGGAGGATCCCAGGAGGGATGTACTTCTCAATCTCGTACACCCAGTGAGCCACAAGTGTAGGCGGGCACACGATGAGACACGGGAGGAGAGGAGCGGATGCGTGGCCAGGTCCAGAAGCACCAGCAGCACCAGCAGCGCCAGCAGCAGCAGCAGTGGAGCCACTAGCAGCAACACGGGCGGCGGATTGGCGCTCGAGGGTGTCTGAGGCGATCATGGAGGAGGCCTGGAGGGTCTTGCCTAGCCCCATGTCGTCGCACAGCACCCCGTGCAGGTGGAAGCGACGGAGGAACGCCAGCCAGTTGATGCCCTCCTGCTGGTACCTGCTCCGCGCGAGGGGGAGAGAGGAGTGTGCGTGTGGGGGGGAGTGGAGAGTAAGGTGACGAGATGTGAGAGGGTGTGTGAGAGAGTTGGGTGGAAGAGGGTGGGGATGTGTGTTTGGCGCTTCAGAAAACACTTCGCCCAGGAACAAGCATCTGTACTGTGTTTCAGTATCTTTTAAAACCCATATGCCTATCACTGCACTACAAGCACACCTTCTGAGAGTGACAGACAGCTTCACTTGCAGCTGGTAATCGTCCGCCTTGCGATTATCCAACAGCTGCTCCAAAAACCTCGCATCCTCCCGCGCCTTCCTCGCACCTTCCTCGTCCAAAAAGGCTGGCAGAGGCAGCCCCCGAGCCAGCGGCAGCAGCGGCACGAGCCTGGCAAAGCTTTGTGTCACCAGCTGCCGAACCTGCGGGCTAGGGTCGGACATCCGAGCCAGGAGGGGAACCACTAGGAGAGCAGCGTACGGAGCCAGCATCTCCCCTCGGGTGTTGACCAATAAGGAGACGACACATGCCGCACCGCGACGGGCAGGTTCAGAGAGTGTGTTGGTGAGCTGAGGGAGGACGTGAGTGAGAATGGCGGAGAGAACGGGCTGCTCTGCTGTCGGGAGGGAGACGAGGGTTGACAGGCACTGGGCTGAGGCGAAGCGCACAGCAGCGTGGGGGTGGCGAGTGGAGGAGAGGACCGGGGGAAGGAGGAGGAGCAGGCGGGGGATGAGGGACGTGTGGAGGACGGGGGCTATGCAGCGCACGAGTTGAAAGGTGTTGACTAGCGCCTGTGGGTCTGATTTGAAAAGCTCCTTCTCATCGCACCTCCCTGGGGTACCACCTCCTTCTGGTTCTCCGGGCTTCCAGACCTCAGTGAGGAGGTCCCACAGCTTTGGCAGCTTAGAAAATAGGTCCGGGCCGAGGCTGTCCGCCAAGGCTCGGAAGGAGAGCTCGGCCCCTCTGCGGCCAATCATGGCTTCCAGCGACCCCGCGGAACCCTCCCCCTTTACAGTCACACCTGCTGCTCCTTTTGCTGCTGGCCCCCCTGCTGCTGCCCCCCCTGCTCCTGCCACAGCAGGTGCAGCTAGGGAAGCATCCAGGGGATCGTCAACCTCCCTATTGGCGTCGCAAGGCGGAGGGCACTGAGAGGGGTCGGAGCAGGCGAGTGTAGAGAGGTTCTTGAGGAGGCGGTCGTTGGGGGAGGGGCGGCGGTCCAGGGAGCGCAGAATGACGGCTGCCAGGCCGCTCGCCACACTCTGCTGCAGCAGCTCCTCCTGAGAGAAAAGAGGGGAGTGGGGGGATTGGGGAGTGGGCGAGGGTTAGGGATGAGGCCAACAGAATTCAACACAGAAGCCAACTTTCGAGTAAAATCAGAAAGACAAGACAGTTCCCTCAAGTTAACTCTCACCCTTTCTCGCTTGAGTGCAGCCATGAGTGGCTGGATGATGGGGTTAAGCTTGGAAGGCAGACTCGGGGCAACCCGCACTGCTGCTGCCGCCACCGTTGCTGTGACGGATGTGTGCATATTGGTCTGGGGAGGAGAGGAGGGGAGAAGAGGAGAAACGGGCAGAGGCAGGGGAGCAATAGCTTAAGGGGCTTTTAAGCCAGTACCACTGCTGTCGCCGCTGTGTGCATGTTGGACTCAGAGCTGTGTGTCTGTTGGACTCAGAGCTGTGTGTCTGTTGGACTCAGAGCTGTGTGTCTGTTGGACTCAGAGCTGTGTGTCTGTTGGACTCAGAGCTGTGTGTCTGTTGGACTCAGAGCTGTGTGTCTGTTGGACTCAGAGCTGTGTGTCTGTTGGACTCAGAGCTGTGTGTCTGTTGGACTCAGAGCTGTGTGTCTGTTGGACTCAGAGCTGTGTGTCTGTTGGACTCAGAGCTGTGTGTCTGTTGGACTCAGAGCTGTGTGTCTGTTGGACTCAGAGCTGTGTGTCTGTTGGACTCAGAGCTGTGTGTCTGTTGGACTCAGAGCTGTGTGTCTGTTGGACTCAGAGCTGTGTGTCTGTTGGACTCAGAGCTGTGTGTCTGTTGGACTCAGAGCTGTGTGTCTGTTGGACTCAGAGCTGTGTGTCTGTTGGACTCAGAGCTGTGTGTCTGTTGGACTCAGAGCTGTGTGTCTGTTGGACTCAGAGCTGTGTGTCTGTTGGACTCAGAGCTGTGTGTCTGTTGGACTCAGAGCTGTGTGTCTGTTGGACTCAGAGCTGTGTGTCTGTTGGACTCAGAGCTGTGTGTCTGTTGGACTCAGAGCTGTGTGTCTGTTGGACTCAGAGCTGTGTGTCTGTTGGACTCAGAGCTGTGTGTCTGTTGGACTCAGAGCTGTGTGTCTGTTGGACTCAGAGCTGTGTGTCTGTTGGACTCAGAGCTGTGTGTCTGTTGGACTCAGAGCTGTGTGTCTGTTGGACTCAGAGCTGTGTGTCTGTTGGACTCAGAGCTGTGTGTCTGTTGGACTCAGAGCTGTGTGTCTGTTGGACTCAGAGCTGTGTGTCTGTTGGACTCAGAGCTGTGTGTCTGTTGGACTCAGAGCTGTGTGTCTGTTGGACTCAGAGCTGTGTGTGTCTGTTGGACTCAGAGCTGTGTGTCTGTTGGACTCAGAGCTGTGTGTCTGTTGGACTCAGAGCTGTGTGTCTGTTGGACTCAGAGCTGTGTGTCTGTTGGACTCAGAGCTGTGTGTCTGTTGGACTCAGAGCTGTGTGTCTGTTGGACTCAGAGCTGTGTGTCTGTTGGACTCAGAGCTGTGTGTCTGTTGGACTCAGAGCTGTGTGTCTGTTGGACTCAGAGCTGTGTGTCTGTTGGACTCAGAGCTGTGTGTCTGTTGGACTCAGAGCTGTGTGTCTGTTGGACTCAGAGCTGTGTGTCTGTTGGACTCAGAGCTGTGTGTCTGTTGGACTCAGAGCTGTGTGTCTGTTGGACTCAGAGCTGTGTGTCTGTTGGACTCAGAGCTGTGTGTCTGTTGGACTCAGAGCTGTGTGTCTGTTGGACTCAGAGCTGTGTGTCTGTTGGACTCAGAGCTGTGTGTCTGCTGGTTGGTTTGATGCAGAGGGTGGGAGGGGAGAGGGAAAGAAGGAATTTCCCGTAATGTGGCTTAGGCTCCTTTTCCACACTCCATCTCCCTTTTAGATACTCACAGACACACACGGGGACACACACACACACACATGTATGCACACATGCACACGCACACTCGGTGATGCACAGCACAAACCTGTACAGTTCTGAGGTAATTGGCAGTAGACAGCAATCTCCGCCTGCAGCTCTCCATCAAATCCCCCCCCCCTGCTGCTGCTGCTGCTGCTCCTGCAGCCTCTCTGCCCCTCTCCCTCCCTCACTCCCGCCTCTTCCCCTGCCTCTGCCTCTTCCCCTTCCCCTTCCACCGCCTTCCCCTCCCCCTCTCCCACCGCCACCAGCCACCCCACCAGGTGCGTCCCTCTTCTCCAACTCCCCTGTCTCCGCCCCAGCAAGCCCAGCCAGGGCCCCTGCCAGTTCCAACGCACCCTCGGGACTCAGCCTTTCAAAAGGATTCCCTTCTTCCCCTCCTCCTGCTCCTCCTTCTGCTCCTCCCCCCCCTCTCGCCCCCCCTGCTGTACCGCTACTAAAAGCCACTGCCGAATCACCACAGCCGGCTCGTGTAAGTGCCGAACCAATCACGTCCTGGGCTACCCCCACGGCTCGGGCATGGCTGAGCAAAGCACTAGCTTCGGCCCGGAGCTTGCTGTAGGTTCGGGAGAGCTCTTCGTAGCTTTGGCCAGCGTCAGGGGACGAGAGGAGAGCCATCAATTGAGTCAGCAGCCTCGCAACAGGAGGTGACGGTCGTGCGAACGAAAGACTAGGGAGAGAGCTGAGAGAAATCGCATTCTGCTGCTGCTGCTGCTGCTGCTGCTGCTGCTGCGTGTTCAGTTCTTGCTTCTTTCGCTGCTCATCCGTCTGCTGCCCCTCCACTTCCCCCACCTGTCGCCCCTCAAGCTCTCTGAACCAAGCAGCAATGATGAGCGCACCAACCTGCTTCTGTGTGGCAGCCGCGGACCCCAGGAGGGATACCAACGGGGCTACTGCACCTTCTAGCTGGTCGACCGGCCAGAAGGAGAGCAGCAGGCCCATGGCTCGGCTCGTGTCCACTCTTATGCGCACCGCTGCACTCTCCCCGTCCGCCCCCACCACCACCACCCCATTACCACCGCTCCCCACCGCACTGACAGCAGCAGCAGAGCTCCCAGCACTAGTTCCCGCCCCTCCACCTTCTATTTCCTTCTCCTTCCCCTTTCCCCTTCCCCCTCTCCCCCTCCCTCTCCCCCTTCCCCCAGCCTGTGTGCCTCTTCCCCCTGTGCTGGGCAGATCCGCCTCCTTGCCTTTGCTGGCCGTCCCCCCAGCTGACGTGGCGAAAAGAGAGGATGTGTTGAGGGAGCTGCCAGGTGGCGTGGCGATGAGCTGGCACCAGTGGCGGATGACGGGGCGAGTGAGATAAGCAACAGTGGAGGGGGGCACCTGAGGGAGGAGATGGGAGATGAGAAGCGGGTGAGGACGAGGGGGCAAGCAGGAGGGGAGGGTGAAAGAGCGAAGAGAGGACAAAGGTAACCTGAGTTGACTATTGTGAAGAAATTTAGGCAAAAAAACAGTCAACGTCAGCACTAACAGTGTGAGGTGTGTCCAGTGGTAGGTCCAGTGGTCCAGTGGTCCAGTGGTCTAGTGGTCCAGTGGTCCAGTGGTCCAGTGGTCCAGTGGTCCAGTGGTCTAGTGGTCCAGTGGTCCAGTGGTCCAGTGGTCCAGTGGTCCAGTGGTCCAGTGGTCCAGTGGTCCAGTGGTCTAGTGGTCCAGTGGTCCAGTGGTCTAGTGGTTGGTCCAGTGGTCCAGTTTTTTTTTAAAGGTTGGTACCATACATTGTAACAATGCTAGGTAACCACAGTCATAACTGATGCTTGGGGGACTTGGCATGGTGCACCACCCCCTACCGTGCCTACGGGGGCCTATGCATGGTTCGTGGATCTGTCCAGATCGACTGGAAGCCAGAGTTCCACATGAGCAGCTTTGAGCCGTCGATACAGATCCTGCGTAACATCCTACCCTCGTCTCCCACCAGATGCCGCTACCCTGCCCTCTGTGCCTGAGAGAGCTTCCTGCCTCTCCTCCTTAGCTGTAAACCGCTGTAAATCCGCGCATGCATATGAAACTCCAGTGGTCCAGTGGCCCAGTGTGGCCCAGTGTGGCCCAGTATGGTCCAGTGTGGTCCAGTGGTCCAGTGTGGTCCAGTGGTCCAGTGTGATCCATTGTGGTCCAGTGTGATCCGTTGTGGTCCAGTGTGGTCCAGTGTGGTCCAGTGGCCCAGTGTGGCCCAGTGTGGCCCAGTGTGGTCCAGTCCAGTGTGGTCCAGTGGTCCAGTGGTCTAGTGGGTGGTCCAGTGGTCCAGTGGTCTAGTGGTTGGTCCAGTGGTCCAGTGGTCTAGTGGGTGGTCCAGTGGTCCAGTGGTCTAGCGGTTGGTCCAGTGGTCCAGTGGTCCAGCCTAAAGCAACGGCCACCCTGTTCAGGAACCAAACGGGGGGATTCTGTAATAAAATGCACCTGTAATAAACACACCTGTCCAAACACGTTACCTGCTGCAGCAGCAGAGACCAGACGCGGCGGGAGACAGCGAGAGCAGTGGGGTGGGTCTCCAGAATCAGGTTGCGGAGAATACATGCCAGCGCGTCCAGTAACACGCCCGCCACCCACGATGATGCTGCACTGGAGCCTGCTGACGTGGTGCCGTTGGATTGGAGGAGCCTCTCCTGTCTCGACCCAACATAAAAGAGCGTGGGGGAGGGGGGGTTGGGATAAGAAGAGGTAACACGAGAATACAGATGGCGGAGGGGGAGAGGCCACAAGAACAGGAAGGAGGGGGCCAGGGAAGGCAACAAGGGAGGAAGGTCAAGAAACGGACGGGGCAAAGTAAAAAGTGGCAAGCAGGGCGAGTCACAAGAGTGGAATAAAACAAAACCAGCAAGTGGGCAAGGGAAGGAACCAAGGGAGGAAGGTCGAGGGACGGACGGGGCAGGGACATAATTGACAGGCATGCATGGCGACTCACGAGAGTGGAAACAGCGGCCAGTCGAACAGCTGAAATGTTGTGGCGCATCAAGGGCCACAATCGACGGACGAGATCCACCAATGCGGGCAACGAATCCAATGTGCCCACTGCAGCAGCACTAGCAACCACCTTTCCCCTGGCACGGCTCCCTTTTGGAGCCACATTCTCCTCCTCTTCCAAGTCCTCATCAAGGTCATCATCGTCCCCCAGCTCCTCATCGTCCTCTCGCCTTCCCACAGCCCCAGCAGCAGCAGCCGCACCAGCAGCAGGTTTAGCAGCTGCAGCAGCAGGGGAGACGGACCAGAGGGCTGCGACTCGAGGAAGGGCGTGGAGCTCCGCTAGGAGAGCCATCACACTGCAGGGAGGGAAGACGGGAGAGGAAAAGGACGGAGGAAGGCGCGACTCGATGAAAGTGCGGGCATATGTCCATTGTACCCTGCTTTCCCAAGCCTTAGAGCACATGTGCAGTGGGTCGCTTGCAAGTGGGCAACATGCCGAGTAGAGACGCCTCACACACAGTCAAACCCGACAAGCCCACCTGCTGGTAGAGGGGCTGAGGTCGTCCAGCTCCGAGAGAATCCCCCACAGCAGCCGCAGCAGCTGCCGCAAGTCACTCTCCTCCACGCCCTCCCCCACCGCCCTAGCAGCTGGCAGCAGCGCCTCTGCTGCCACAGCCCTCACATCGTCGTCTGAGTCTTGCAGCGCGCGGATGCAGGCGGGGAGGAGCGAGGGCAGCAGGGCGGGCAGCAGCTCCCGCCGCACGGCTATGAGGTACTTGATGCCGAGGAGGGCTCCGTGCCGCACCTCCCACTCCGATCGGGTCTGCGTGGTTGATTGTAAGCGGGATATAGTGTAGAAAGGTGTCATTTAAGGCACCCAGATTGCAGCAGCGAGGGCAGCAGGGGGAGCAGCAGGTCCGGCGCATGGCTATGAGGTACATGATGCCCAGCGGCGCCCCGTGCCGCACCTCCCACTCCTCCTGGTCTGTGTATTGGGGATGGGGGTGGAGGCATAGCATTGGGAGTCACCTCAATGGGGTTGTGGGGGAAGAAGCGTTACAAGGCGCCTCAAGGGCAGGGCCCCGTGCCGCACCGCCCACTCTGAGCATACTTATCAAATGCGCCACGTCCATACCTGCATCTGCAGCAGCACGTCGAGCGTGTGCCTGACAGCTTTAGAGGGCAGATACTTGAGCACCACTCCCAGCGCCTGCCCACACGCCTCCCTCACTGGCGCCACCACCTGATCGGACACAAAGTCCTCCAGCCTGAGAGCACAAGGGGGGGGAGGGGAGAAGAACAGAGGGCGGAAATGGGGCACCTAACATGAGCAGGGTTAACGATGAGGCATGGACGATGGCGCCTCCCTCACTGGCGCCACCACCTGGTCTGACAAAAAGTCCTCCAGCCTGAAAGCAGTGGGAAGAGGAAGGACAGAGAGAGGAGATGAAACAGAATTTGGGGGTTAAACGGGGGGGTTAATAATGAGGCACGGACAATGGCACAACCACCACCTCGTACACAAAGCCCTCCAGCCAGAGTATTTTGAGTCGACTCAAAATACACAAAGCCCTCCAGCCAGAGGGGACGTGGGGGAAGAGGAGAAGGAATAGAACGGGGTGCCATGCGACGCCATATGGTCACCAGCACCTGCTCTGGCACAAAGACCTCCAGTCAGGGAGGGATGGGGCATAGGACACGAATAGGAAAGGGACGAGCAGCATACCTGTCCAGAGCGAATATGCAGAGCAGCCGGATGGCACAGTCCTCCAGAAAGTGCTCATTGTCCGCCTGTGCCTTCCTCGCAGCTTCCATGGCTATCTGTGCCTTCCTCGCAGCTTCCATGGCTACATGTGCCTTCCCTGCTGCTCCCACTGCCGTCCCAGTACTCCTCTCCACCTCCCTCACAGGCCCTGCTACCACCAGCGCTCTCTCCTCCCCCGCTGTTTTCTCCTCCTCTGCCCCTTCCCCCTCGTCCACCGCTTTCTCCTCACCCCCTTCCTCTTCCACCTCCATGTTCAAATCCAGCCGTTTCGCTACAACCTCCTCACTCCTCTCGCTCTTACTCCCCCTCTCGTTACCCCCATCCTTGCTGCCCGCTCCTTCGCTCTCCTCCTTGCTCCCCTCATTCCCCGAGATTCCTACTGATCCCCCTCCCTTTTCTTCAGCCTCGTGCTCCATGCCATCTGAGAGGTGCAAGTCCAAGCCCATACGCACCCTCCCTCCAGCCTTCTGGGCACTGACATCCTCCCCATTTGTCACACTCGTTTCAGGGGCCTCCGTTTTACAATCCATCGACTCGTTTAAATCAAACCCAGACCCTTCGACTCTCCTACCCTCCTCCCTGCCCGTTTCTCCTACCTCCTGCTTCACACGCACACCACCACCGTCAGCACTCATGCCCCCAGATGCGAACTCCCTGGATTCTTTTCGAGGCCTTTCAGACGCCTCATGCCCCATGGAGAGGCCGAGCCAGCCGCCACTCTCTTCCTTCTTCTCTGCCTTTGCTTCCCTCTTGACACCCTCCAGCCAACCCTCCTTCACTCCTATCTGATCCTCTTCTCCCTTCGCTTCCTCCTTTACTCTACTTCTCACCGTTCCCTCTTCCCCTTTCGCCTTCTCTTTCACCTCTGCCTTGGGACCCGCCTTCTCCTCAACCTCCATCTTCACTGCACCCACTCGCTCACTCAAGAACTCCTCTTCTTTCACCTCCCGCTTGATGCCCCCCATCCCTTCCTCCGCAAGCTCTTCTCTTTTAAGGCCCCCATGATCCCCTTCCTCCATCTCCTCTTTAACCCCTTCCTCCTCCTCCTTCATCCTCCCCATCACAGCCTTGACCACACCCACATCCAACTCTTTTGATTCTGGAACTGTCTTTCCAGCCTCGCCCTCTCCCCCCTCTTCCAACTCCGTCTTCTCCTTTTCATCATCTCTCTCCTCCTTCCCATTTGCGCTGGCCCATTTGGAGGGAACTACTGGGCGGCACACTGCAGCACTGTTCCCATGCGCAGACAAAACCTCCCTGAGGGCAAAGATGCTGCCATGCCGTACCTCCCACACTGCACGAGCAAACAAAGGAAGGGAGGAAAACAGAAAAGGTGAGAGAGTTGGAAAACTTAGACACAAGGTCATGGTGCAGGGAGGCAGGCCAGCAGGCCAGCAGGCCAGCATGAACACTCACCTGGTTGAATAGAAGCTAAGATGCTTACCTGGATGAAACATGTCTGTGAGCAATTGCTCGCACAGCGACTGCAAAGGCCACTCCCCCTCCTCCTCCTCCTCATCCTCCCAATCGTCCCCCTCTGCTGCAACCTGCTCTACCGTGATCTGGAGGAGGGTGGCAGGGGGGGTGACAGGGTGGAGGGAATAGTGAAAAATGGGAGGGATGATAAAAGGGGGGATAGACTTTGCAACATTCCAAATCTTGTCCTCCTTATCCCGCCCTCCTCTCGCCCCAAAGCTCCAAATCAAAAGCCCACTTTTAAAAGACCAAGGAAATTATGCAGCTAAGGAAGGCGGAGAAAAAATAGCGCACCTTGTTATCCTCCTTCCCGTCTGAAACCACACTCTTTGTCCGCATTTTCTTCCTGCCGCCCCTCTCCCCCTCTCCTTCATCCTCCTCGTCCTCCTCCCCCACGCCACCGTGCGCCCCGCCTCCCCTCTTCCCCCCCTCCTTGCTCAAGCTCTTTGCCTTCCGCTTCAGCAGGTTTCGCTCTCTCGCACTGAGGGACTTGGCCAAAGCTGGCGGCCCACTACCAGCAGCACTGCCCCCATCACCAGCCCCTGCACTGGTGCCAATTGGCAGCATCTCAGCCATTAAATCCTGCGCTCCACGCTTAGATCCAGCCGCAGATCCTCTCTTCTGCTGCTGCTTCTGCTTGCTGCCTGCTGCTGAAGCCTGGTCTGATGACCCTGCTGCTGCTGCTGAGGCCGATGCTGGGAGTGCTGCTGCTTGTGCTGGTGCTTCCAGATCCTCGTCTCTGATGATATCACTCACATCCATAAATCGCTCACACTCGTCCAGACCTGTGACAGCGGAAGTGTGAGGAGGCGACACAGAAAGAGACGGGGTAATGCGCGTGAGATTATGCTTAACACCTGAAGCTTACACGTGAAGCTTACATGTGAAGCTGACACCTGAAGCTTTCACCTGAAGCTTTCACCTGAAGTGGTGCACTTGAAGAATTGCACCTGGGCAACACCTGGACCTTCCGCCTGGACTTAACACCTGGACCTTGCAACAGGACTCCATTCTAATATCTCACCTAGTCTGCGCCGTAAAGATTGCTTCTGCTTCGCAATTGCCTCCTTCCCTCCCCGCCCAACTGCTGCAATATCATATTCCTGTGCGTGGTTTGGGCAGGGCACAGTGCGGAAGTGAACACAGTGCAAAGTGCGGGACTGGGCATGTAGAGTTGGATATCTTATGAGGATTGGCAAGATACGGAGTTGGGCATGCGGTGCAATTCAGTATTGTGTGAGGTAGGGTATGGTTTGGGGTTGCGCATGGAGGGAGCAGGATTTTGGGGAGAGACAAGAGAAAAGCGTTGTATGATGTTGCATTTTGATCCACTCATGACATGCCATACCACGATCCTCCTCAACATGAACCATAGAAACCATAATGTCGGCAAGCTATGAGCAGCGCCATCAGCCATAGATCACCATCGCATTGCATCAACATGAACAACACATAACAACATCCACCTCCATGCATCATGAGCATACAACATTATGAGCATGCGTTACCTTCCCAGCCGATGCCACAAGCGGTGCCCCATTGTCCAACACTCGACCAATGTCAAAGCTGCATTGCATGATGAGGCACGTGGAGAGGGGTTACGGAGGAAAGTATTAAGGAGCGGCGGCATATGAATGGATGCCTCGGCGCTTGGAACATTCAACATTCGTTCTCAACACACCAATACTCTCTAGCATATGGATTCGCACCATCAGATACATACCCATCGAAGCGCAAGCCGCCACCAGGAGCAGTAGTTCCAGCAGCAGCGAGTGCGGCACCTTCAGCATCAGGGGCTGCAGCAGCAGTGCCAGTGCGTGCTGCTATTGCCCCCCCTCCATCAGCAGATGCAGCAGCAGCAGCACTCTGCAGGTCCTGCACGGTGGGGTGTGGTGTGTTGCGGGCTATGTACCCCAACGCTTTTGCTGCTGCCACACGCGTGTCCCACTTGCTGCTCTTCAGCAGCCTCTTCACCTGCACGCAGAGAGGGGAGAAGGGGAAGGGAAGGAAGAGGAGGGGGAGAGGAGAGAAGAGGAGGTGTAAAAAGGAGGGATAGTTAACAACTAGGAAGGCAAAGCTGTTCAGCATCTAGTCGTGGATGGTTCCAACGTTGCAACGACACTTGAATGCAGGAAGAGCTGGCAAAACTGAGGGTCGAGGGATAAGGCAAGGTGCACGGCCTCAAATGGGTAACACTGACTTAGGCTCGACTAGGATAGGAATGCCTGGAAACTGACAGCAGAGGCATCCAATGAAAGTTGGGAATCGTACACGCCGAATGAGAGCATGTAAATCCGCTCTGTGGAGGCTGGCTAACTCTCCAATCTGACGCGCGGCTGTGTCGCGCGTCGTGGCCGCTTCTCCAGCTGGAAAGAGGATTTCGACAGGGAAAATGAAAGAAGAAATGGCGAGGATAGGTGAGCGTCATTGCTTGACACGGAGGAGAGAACAAGTGATAAGTCGAAGAAACAGAAGTGGGACGGGAGCCGTGAAGCGGAGCAAAGGTTCTTTTGGGTCTGAAACTCAGTATCGTGATGAAAGTAGTGAAGCGATTTTGTGAAACTGGCGTGGAAAGGGAACGTCCAGTCATGTAGCGGAATCATGGGGGTGGAAAACGAGAGGAACGGCGTCCGTACTGTCAAGAAGGATCAGGAGCCGGTCGAGGCGAGTGGTGCCCCCAGAAGCAGTCTTATTCCCGCCCACCGCCATGGTAAAGGACAATGTTAGATTCTGGGAAACAGGTGCAGCACCCTAAGTTTAAATTGTCTGTGGTAGCAAAAGAATGTCAGAGACAGCCTCCCTCATTCGCAACCGCGCCGGCGAATGTCAAAATTTGAGTGACGACCTAAAGTACTTGCTATGATCTCCAAAACCAATCTACATATTGCAAGATTAGACGGGTCGGCCATGTTAATTCTAAGCACTGGGAGAAGCTGAACGAGATTTCTTCCAGTGGAATCTTGAACTGCCGTACTGCCAGGCAGATGATAGCTTCGAGGTAGACAAATCTGCAAGCGGGATATCTGACACACAGCAGCGTAGTGAAGCTATTCTCCTGACAAAACGGCTCGAGATATGTTCTACTAATTAGGTGATGGCCAATACTGATACAATATGTCCCATTGGATAATGAACATTCATATTCATTTTCAAAGTTAGCTCCTTATATGCTGACATGCTTGTACCATAAGCCAGAAATACTAATTCCGTGAAGTGAAATGCAGAGCAACCATTATTTCCACCCTGACAGCATCCTGGGTACATCAGTCTAGTTTGCAAGCCTTTGGAGGTTCGCCTCAATGCCATCCTTGGCGGACCGGAAGGCAGTAGAGATGGCATGAAGCGAAGGTTTGGTGTACATGTTAGCTGAACCTTCTGTGCCAGTCGCAGCATCAAATGCTGCAGCTAGGGTCTTGTTCTGCTCCTTGTACTTTCCATATGACTTCTCAACCTGCACCATCCAAAGGCACACAATTTATTACACCACTCCCCAGAAGTGATAAACAGAAAGAAAAGCATGCAACTTACATCTACAAGGAGAGCTCGAAGCCTTTGAGCCTGCTCTCTTGTACCACCGACGGGGATAGTCTGCAGCTGTCCTTGTCCAATAACACCACTGATAGATGATGATGCTGGTGATGGCCTTTGCCCCATGCCATCTCCGAGATTGCTGCTATCATGCCTTCTCCTCCACTTGCGAGATGGTTTAGGGCAACGGCAGACCTCCATCAGCAATTCTTGTGCAGCCTCAAGAATGAAAGACATATCTGGTACAGACTTTGCTTCGAGCTCCACTTCAGCCTTCCTGGGGTCGTCATCATCACCACCATCTCCAACAGCAATATTGCCCTTGCCATTAAAGGGCATTAGGAGCGTCCGTGGCACAGAATCAGCAGCACCGTCCTCCTTTTCTCCTGTCACCATAGCCATATAGGTAGACCCAGGTTGAGCAGCAATAGCGAACAGCTCAGACTCGTGACCAGCATGAGTCTGACTGCCGTCAACTTGCATGTGATCCATTAGACTTCCCTGCTGAGCGTGGCCAGCCCATAAACCTGGAGCAAACCCATCGTCAAAATCCTCAAAAGGCTGACCGTGGAAACCGTCCTGAAGGAAGGGAACAGGGGCCAAGCTCACTCGTTCTAAGGCCAGCTGTGCATCATACTGTGGTGTCGCCTGGCCAGGCTGGTGCACAGAGAGGCTGCTTCCGAATCCAGCATACACAGCAGATCCATCTTCTAGAAACTGAAGAAGAGACTTTCCCTGAACTGCAAATTGAGCAGAGTCAATGGAAGCAGTGCACGACACCATATCCTGTGTCGTGTGCTCATGGGGTTGGGAGGAGGAGCTCTCGTTAGGAGGGAAGTCGCTTGAAGGCCAGCCTGTGGGCTGGTGTTGCTTTGGCAAAGGCCCTGAAGATGGAGAATTCTGCTGCCGGTTGCTCTCCTGCCGCTGAATTCGGTGTTGTTTTTCATCTGCAATAGCTCCTGCTTTTGCAAGCCCAAGAGCAGCGCCTTTCTGCAGTCCTTCAGAGTGAGCCCATTTGTCAGACAAGTGGTTACCGTTGAAGAGAGGAATGGAGGGTCCATCATTAGGTGATGGCTCGGAGAAGCATATGGCATCAGTAGCCAACTTTTGCTCCTCACCATGATCGTTAGCAACGACCAGGAAGCCAGCGCGACCCTTCAAGGAGCAGATACGATTACTAAGCATTAGGCAAGCAAGCGACGAACAAACCACGACCCAGGATGTGAGGAAGTGTGACAACGCAACTCATGTTACCGCAAAAAGAACTTACGTTTCCTCTCAAGATTGCCTTCCGCCTTGCATGATTTACACGGCGGCCATAGTTCTCCGAGGAGTGAGGTTTGATGATACTGGTTGTATTTATTAAAGTGGAATGAACGTCAGCACCTGACAGAATCTGTAAGAATCGGATTCAAAAACAGGGGGGGATATTCGCGTTAGAAGTCAAACGGCAAGAAATATTAGCAGAATACTGTGACAATGAAGACGCGAGGGTTGATCGTACTGGAGTATGCACATGGCAGGAGGGTGGAACTCGGCCTGGTATGACGACGTCTCCGACATTATTATGAAGATTATCCCTGCCAATATCGCCATGACGCCATAATTGATGTGTATTATTACCCCCGCTGCGAAGCTCTTCGTGAATGTGAACCTCCATGCAGGAAAAACGAGGCGTCCACTGCGGAGAACGAGAAAACACCCTCGCTGGGATGCGCTAATGGAATGCAGGAACGAAACTTATAGACCACGTCACCTGATTATGTTGTCAAAGGCTATCCATTCAGGAAGGCCATCCATGGAAAGACTACGCGCTAAGAGTTCAAACTTGCGTAGTAAGCTCTCCGGCAACCCTTGCCTGACAGCCTTGCAAATGACTGTTATTGCAGCAGAGGCCCGAAGGCTTCATGGAAAATGGATCCAGACAGTGCAGGAACGGACCCAGGACCTCAGGGTTCACACCTCAAGGTGTCAAGCTTGGTCAGACATTGGTAGCATTATAAGGCATTTCCGATTTGTTTCTGGATTGGCCGACATCAGCATCGATTTTTCCGTCGTCAGACTTCAGGTTTTTTTGAGAATCCATGCGCCTTCTTCTCTGCTGCTAGCAGCAACTTCGCTAGGCAGCAGTCCTTGGGATTGTCGTGAGTTGAAGCGGCTCGACATGACAAAAGCCATCAACGTCAGCCTTTCAGACAGCAGTCATGTTGACAGCCCGACTCTATTCGAAATTTGTAGGATGCGGTGGTGATGGAGAAAGCATTCAGATACAGGTCAGGAGGCAAAGAGTCAACCGAAAGGGACCAAACCACATCATCTCCGTGTACACGCCAAAATACATATAGGGTGCCTCGTACAAAATACAGGGACATGCTCGCGGACTATACATACATCATGCCCTTCAAATGGCGTTTCCTATTATTTGCGGAGTCTAATACTGGTATTTTCCAACCATTTTGCTGATTTTGAGAAGCGATCAGTGCACCTGCCAGTCCACTGACCATTTTTCTACTGGAAATGGATCCAAAATTCATGTATTTTCCACATGAAATGACTACAACAAGTGGGCTTTTGTTAGCATTCCCATAAGATGGGAAATAAGACCAAGTGTACCTGCTGCGAAAATTGCTTCACCTTAGCTTCACAACAATGATATTACAGCTAATAGGAGACAACTGTTAAAATTATATAAGTTATAATTTATATAGGCTTGGTAGGTTGTTACTGAACCTTTCTGTAGGGGGTACAAACCCCTCCTTGTACTCCCCTCTCTTCTAATCCAACAACTTTTCTCTCCTCAACTTTCCTAGCACCTAAAACCTCTCGCCATTCTCATGGCTCCTCCTAGCTCCTAGCTAAACCTTGTGCCATTCTATGGCTTCCTAGCTAAGCTAGTTTCTGACATGGTATTAGAGCAGTTCGTTCCGTGTGGGCCTGCTCCTCGCGTTTCCGCTGCGTGCTCGTTTCTCTCTCTATCTCGCGCTGCCATGGCGGCCGCGTCAAGCTGCTGTGGCCGCGTCGTCGTGCCGCGGCGCCGCTGTCGACGTCCATGGCGCCCGCGTCCAGCTGCTGTGGCCGCGCCGTCGTGCCGCAGCTCCGCCGTCGCGTCAAGTTGCTGTCGCGACGTGACGGCGCCGTCACGCTGCCGCGGCGTCTACGCGACAGCGCGCAGTCGGCGTACCAGCGACGTCGTGCTGCCGTCGCAGCGTCGACGCCCCGCTGCGGCATCGACGCCGCTCCATGACGGCGTCGTCGGGCTGCAGCCGGCCGCGTGACGCTTGTGGCGCCGCTAGACCGGCCGCCCGCATGTCAGCCTGTGGCGCCGCCCCCCCCCCCCACCCCCCCTCCTTCCCCTGCGCCCTCTTCCATTCCGCAGACGATGGCTGACTCCCGCCGGCCGTCCCACAGTCGCGGGGCCAGGCCACGTCACCGAGAGGTGCGGGTGCCGCCGCCGCTGCCGCTGTTGTCGAAGCCGCCGCCGCCGCCGCTGTCGCCGCTTGCGTCGGGGCCACGCAGCCGCACGCCGCCGCCGCCGCCGCTGTCGACACTGCCGCCGCTGCCGCCGTCGCCGCCGCAGCCCCTGCGGTCGACGTCGCCGCCTCACGCGCCGTGGGGTCGACCGACCTAGAGTCGCTGTCACTGTGGCTGGAATGGGGGTGCTAGGTTAGGGGGTGTGGGTGTGTGTGGGTGTGTGACTACCAAGCCTAGGGGGTGTGTTAAAATTATATAAGTTATAATTTATATAGGCTTGGTAGGTTGTTACTGAACCTTTCTGTAGGGGGTACAAACCCCTCCTTGTACTCCCCTCTCTTCTAATCCAACAACTTTTCTCTCCTCAACTTTCCTAGCACCTAAAACCTCTCGCCATTCTCATGGCTCCTCCTAGCTCCTAGCTAAACCTTGTGCCATTCTATGGCTTCCTAGCTAAGCTAGTTTCTGACAACAACAACATAGACTACACGCCATATTGAGACACTAGGGAGAGGAAGACAGCAAAACACAAACACTAAGGGAGAGGGCATACGTAGCTCTCCACAACTTGTACCGTAGCTATTCAATAAGCTACGCATTTATTCTTGGTCAACACAGCAGTGCAACGAGCTTTCACTCCATTCTCTGGGGAGAAGGAGCCACCTTTTGTGAACTGAAGTTGAGAGCGTTCCCTGTGTAGCCTGTAGATAAACAGACGATTTGGGGACACAACTTTCCTAGAAATTACTGGCAATGGAGATGCAAGACGCTGTGGAGAGGCTGAGGAAGGGAAGGCGAACTGGACTGTGCTCTTTTTCAGGGTCCACGAGACGAGCTCAACTCTCAGGAAAGCAACTGCTAGTCATGGAAAGGAGGCTTACCGAGCAGTGGGTCCCACCCTCGGGTTTTGAGTTCTCGGTACTCCTGAGCAAAGGCACATCATGGGCAGAAGACGTGCAGCACAGCGTCCGTGCAGGGCCAGCTGGGCAGCCCGTACTTGTCCCTCAGCATGCCACGGA